TATGAAAAGCAGACGTGAACCACGTGAAAATGATCGACCAATCACTATCGAAAGCGAAACAAAACGCAAGCCAAAATTCATCGCTGTCGCTTTGTAATCGGATTCGTGATAGGCTTTTCCGATTCTTCCCGAATGAGTTTACAGAATAGCAAACCGACCAAACCGTCCAATAACGAACGTAATTGTTTCTCGTTGAACTTATAGAATCGCAGTGCTGGACCTGACAAAGCATATGCTGAACTCATAAAGCTATTTAAGACCGATGGTACTCAACGCCTAACAAAAATATTTAATAATATATATAAACGGAGTAATACAAACATCATGGCTGAAGTCAACGTTTATTGCTACACCAAAGCTCTAGTAAAATCCGTATCCTGCAATGATTTCTGGGCCATCAGCTTAATGAGCCACATTTTACAGTTTTTCCTAAATGCCATGAGTTATCAGGACCCATAAAAATCAGGTTGCTACGATGTTCTTTTCATGATCTTTCGTATACTGTTGTACGGAGTTGAATCGTGGACTCTCACAGATGTTACCTGCAAGAAAATTGAAGTTTTCGAAATATGGCTTCATTGTCGAATCCTGAAGATATCCTATACCGACCACGTTACTAACCAGGACGTTTTATTAAGAAAGCAAATAGGAAAAGAGTTGGTACCGAAATAAAAACAGTTAAAATCGAATACCTCGGTCAGATCATCATGAAAAGCGAAAGATATGGACTGCTGCAAATTCTTCAAGGAAAAATAGAAAAATAACGCGCACCAGAAAGGCTGAGAAATCTACGTAAGCGGTTCAACACAACTATCACAAATCTTCTCAGAGCAGAAGTTTGCCAAATACAGTTTGCCATAACGGTTGCCAACATCCGAAACGAATAGGCACTACATGAAGAAGAATATTCCATTCCCGTAAAAGTCTCTGCCGTAATTTAACGAATTTTTCTAAGTATTAGAGACTCTTTATTGATTTTAAATTATAGATAATAAGACACAAGCACTAATAAGAAAGAAAAACAATAAGGAAAAGTTCACTAAAGAATTAGACATAATTTTTCCCGATTACAAACGATTTAAAGATTCAAAAGCGCACAAAGCACGGAAATAAAATTTTTGATAGAAGTGATCTGGATTAACAGCATGCTTATATTTTTTAATAATATTCAATTAAAGATAATAAAAATATACTTTGATTTGATCAAATTAAAGGCAGATATCGAGCACAGTTTTAATAATTAAATATTTCCCAAGTATTTTCGCTTCCTAGAGCATCTTCAGGGGCATTTCGTCAATTTAGGACAAGCACTTTAAAATTAAAAAAAAATCTCTATCTTTTTAAAAAAGTTCTTTCCTGATGTCGACCATAATGTAGCTTCGCTTATTTTAAAAAAGTAAAAATCGAAACGTCAAATAAACTTATTTTAAACTTAAACTGTGACTTATTCCGATTAAAAGTAGTAATTATTGTATTAAGATGACACAAAAAATAGCTTCAGAATAATAGTTTTAATCTATATGATAAGAGTAAAAGGGTACGGATATACCGAAGATACATGGATGTGTGTGATCCATTAAAATGTGGACACATGAAAATGTTATGAGATCACACATATAGTTTGTTTCACGAAAAATTGTTGAGTGCTTAATGGTTACCTGAGTTGATCCTATTGTGTATACAAGAGTCTCTCAATAAACTACCGAAGTACACAGGGTCGCACTTCAGAAAGTTTGTTATTTAATATATTTCATTGATAGCTGTGTAATACACGATTATAAAAATTTAGTAAATTATTTCATATGGTAGTTTCAGGTTATTCAAGTGAATATACTTGATAATTGAACAATTTTTAACATGAAGAAAGTAGTTTTTTGTTCTACGTGAACAATTGTAGTATATGGATCTAAATTCAGAAAGGTACTTTCCTTCACACTTTTTACAGGCTTAGGACTGTCAGCATGGTGTGTTTAAAAGTTCTTGCTTTTCCTAATCGGGTATCGTTAAAAATGTACAGTAATAATAGTTCTATTTACAGTATATACATACAAACGAATACATTATGTACAAAAAATAGATGAATTGAAAAAAAAATATAGAAAAATATATACAAGTTAATATTTACAAAAAAAAATAACCAAAATATGTTTATGAATTCCTAAATACCTAATTCTGTTTCGCTGTCACTATCCTCTTCAAGATTAATAACAATTGGTTTAATTATGTAATTCAAAGTAACATATGAATTTTCTACGTTCATTACATGACATATTGAATTTTTCTTACTTTCTGGGGAGATATCATCAACATATTTCCTTATTAATTCGACTACACTACCACTTAAAGTAGGAGAAACATTTTGTGACCTAACATTTGACTTTAGTTGGTGCCACATAAGCTCTATGGGTTTAAATAATAAAATATTAGGGCGGAAGCCGTAACACTGTATGTCCCATGTCCTCGGCCAATGCGTCACAAACATATACTTTTTTAATAGAAAATAATTTTAACACTTCTAACAGTTCATTTTTTAAATAACTTTCTTCAAAATATATACCGTTTTCTAACAGGTAGTTTTGTAGTTTTTAACACGAAAATTTCAATTTTCGTGTTATTTGCACTTGGAGATGTATGTAATTGACGATTGTGGTAACTTGCATTGTCCATTACTATCACACTATTTTGAGGAAGGTTAGGTATAAGACAATTCTTAAACCATTGCTCAAAAAGCTCTGCCGTTATATCCTCATGGTAGTCCACGCAGGAGTCTTTAATGCTCTTTGCAGAAAGCCATAAGGCATTTGGGACCCAACCATTTTCTGATCTTGCATGTAAAATTGTTATTCTTTTCCCTTTGTTTGATGGAGCTATTGTTTGACACCTGTTGGAAGAATCGGACCATCCTTTGGATGGTGTTTCATGAGTGTCAAACCATGTCTCGTCCAAATAAATTATTAGTTGATCTTCTGTACTTACTTTTTTATGGAAGTTATATATTCAGTACGCCACTTTTGTAAACTATGAGAGTCCATAAGCACTTGCCTTTTGTCAATTGTACGATATCTGAAGCCCATTGTAGACAAAATCCTCCAAAGACTAATTTGCCTATAGTTTATTTGTGTATCATCATTAGTAAGCCGTTGTTTTAAAGCATCTAATGTAGGTATCCGTTGCTCTTCGTACATTGTGTAAATTTTTCGTCTTATTAAGTCCTTATCATTTTCGTCAATACATTTGGTAGAACCGGCATCCTTACGCTTCCTTCTTGACTTAATGGGATTTGATGTAATTCTTTTCACTGTGGTTAGAGGTATTTTAGTTAAATCAGATATTTCACTGGCAGCAGTATTAGCAGTAAGTCCTCTTGTAAGTAAAGAACTATATATTGTTTTTACGATTTCTCTAGCGTCAGCAGATAAATGCTTTTTCTTTGCTGGAACACTGGAAGAAGCACCATCAATGTTTTTCCAGGTACGCCACATAATGCTGTTTTATAGGTATAAATAGGTATAACACTGGTAACATTTGTAACACTTTCAACTAAATGAAACAAAATGTATATTTAAAAATTTCTCATCGGTTTTATATACTTTTACAAATTATGCAGAATAGAGGGAACGTGTATAATTATTCTAGGAAATACTTAACGATCAACAAATTTATTGTGGTCATTAAAATATCAACCATTGATAGTGAAACTCACTGTTAAAATGTTTACAACTTAATGAAATAAAATGTATTCTAATCGTTTTTATAATTTTATACGATTTTTTAATCGTTTTTATATTACCAGGAATTTATGATACAAACAAGATAACGACACTCCACAGTAGCTTCAATTTTACCTGTTTTACCTGAATACTTACCTCCTCAACTAATGTTGACTAAGCTAGGGTACTTGCGGTCGGGTTTTATTGCAATCATTAAGCACTTAACCATTTTTCGTGAAATAAACTATACCAAGGATGTTTCATCCGTCACCCTTGCGACCTATCATTGCATTTTACAGCGATGTCGATGCCAGAACACAATAGGTTGTGTTACATCGCGATCGAGCTGTTAATCACGTGGTAAATTACAAGTTTATTGGTAGTTTTCAAACCACCAATTAACTTTCCGTGACACTCGCGTAAATGTGACATTCACGGTAGATACGGATGGTATGATAAATATACTGAAATGTATAAAGACTCATTCTCATATAAGCATAATATCTGTCTGACTCGTGTTTCTTAAGCTCTTTAAATAGGTTATGGTATTCTCCTCAGAGTATTAAAAATATCATGGACTGATAGAATTACAAATAAAGAAGTACTGGAGAGGGCTGGTAAAGAAACAGAACTAATCACCACTATACAAACCAGAAAACTGGAATAGTGATGACGGGACCAAAATATGAAATTTTGAGACTTATAATACAAGAAAAAGATTCAAGGAAGAAGATCTGTTGTCCGAAGGCAGAACTCATGGTTAAAGAATCTACGTGACTGGTATCAATGCAGATCAATTGATTTGTTTAGAGTAGCAAGTAGCAAGTTCTAAAATAAAAATAGCCATTATGATTGCCAACCTCCGTAGGAAGATGTCACTCTAAGAAGAAGAAGGTATTCTCCTAGATACTGCCTTTTTTATTTATATGATGAGTCGAAAGCTGGAGATTTAGAGAATTACAAATGATCTACTACGTTTTACTTGAAGACATGCAATCACTGTCGTCACTACTGTTAATCATGTACATAATTTTATAATGTAAAAAGCTAACTTTTCCGGAACACATGCAAGTCATCTCAGAAACCACAAAGAACACTGAAAGGAAAGAAAGCTATCTTCAATATGTCCGTCATCGATGTAAACCTCCACCGCGACCTCTATCGCACACATCTTCGGTATGTTCGTAAAGGGTGAACTAAATCCTAATAGTAAATAATGCACATCTGAAATAGGTGTTCAATAATTTTAATATAGATCAAAGTATTTATCCATCCTTTTTTAATTTTAAGACAATGTTATAGAATCGAAAGCATCCAAGTGCTATGGGATATATGGTTGTTTCGAATTAGGATATCCATGGACCTCAGAAAATCGACCAATAGCTTACTATCCCGAGGAGTTAGAAAAAGTAAGTAACTAAAATACAACTGTCTACATTTTAACTATTTTAATAAATACAATTTTTTTATTTTAATTAAACCGCATCAACTATTGTTAATGTACAATATTATTATTAGCATTGTACATATTAATTCTTGGCCTTACTTTATGTTGTCGAGTCCTGGACTGTGAATAAAATCGATCTAAATCGCCTTGAGGCTGTCGAAATGTGATGCTATAGAAGAATTTTAAAAGTTTCATGGGTGGAGAAGATTCGAAACTCCACAATACTAGAACTTCTCAGCAAGACTACTAAGATCATAAAAAGCATCAAGCAGAGAAAGCTGGAGTATTTTGTTCATGTAATGAGAGGTCCCAAATATAGGTTGCTACAAAATATCATGCAAGGAAAAATAGCAGGCAAACGCAGTCCAGGACGAAGAAGAACCTCATGGTTGAAGAACTTGCGAGATTGGTATGGTGTTAATACAAGCATGCTATTTAGGGTCGCAGTGAATAAAATTAAGATAGCTATGATGGTAACCAACGTTCTGAAAGGACATGGTACATGAAGAAGAAGTTATTAGCAGGATAAATCATGTTTGTCTAATGATGTGCTAAGTAAGTGCCAATACGTAAAGTCGACTTGATTGTCTTTACAAAAAGTCGCTTTTTATATTCATATGTCCGCTGTATTTTGTGTGAGTTCCGATTCGACAAAGCTGAGTATTTCTATATTTTTGAATTAAAATCCCACCTTTTGAATTAAAATTGTTTACACTCAGTAAAAGAAGATAGTCAAAGCATTTAAAATGTGGTTCTATAGACACATGTTAAGGATTTCCTGGACAAACAAAGTTACCAACGAAGAAGTCCTAAACAGAATGAGTAAAGAGCACGAACTAGTAATAATGAATAACGGTTCGATCTACGTCGAACCATACTTCAAGGTGAGGTGCATGAAAAAAGAGGTCCACAAGAAGAAGAATATCCTGGCTTCATAACCTACGAATATGGTTTAACTCGGCCACAACCGGAATTTTTATCGTATCATTTAACAAACGCATAATAGCCCTGTTAATGTCCTAAATCCGTATGGGATATGCACCATACAAAGAAGAAGTTGACAGTCTTACTACTTTATCAGCGAAGTGTAACTTGTTAGTGTAGCGCTTGTTAAAACCACAGTATATTGCTTAATATACTGTGGTTAAAACCTTACTGCATAGAGATGTCACTTAAGTGCATAGCGTCACAAAAAACGTTAAAATATCAAAATGATTATCTCAGTTTAAGATCCATTGTTCTTCTTCAGGGTTTGTGGTTTTTGGCTATTGTGTGAAGCGTTATTATTGTTAGGCATTTTCAGTTTTTGTAGTTTTTTTTAAAGGCTGTTTAAGAGAGTTTTACCCTTTTACTCATATGAGATCTGTCTCTCATGGTTTGAGAGTTTTTAGAATGTCTATTGGGATTTGTGACAGAGAAGAAAATGTGCTGAATGTTTAGCAGTTTTTATGGTGACAGTGCTTTTCCAGATTGAGTGAAGAGAAAAGAAAACTACAAATAAAATACTTGTGTTAGTAGTGATGTGTTAGTAGCCGGTGGTTGAAGAAATAGTTACGGATATTTCTTCGGGAGAAGGACAGGTATGATTATCCTTGTCCAGTGCAGTACCTCAATGGGGTGGATTTGAGACGATCTGTGTAATCTTCCTAAGTTTTTAATACAATTTTAAGTAAGATTCACGGTAGATGAACCTTTTTGTTTTTGAGTCAAACTCAAAGTTAATTCTGCATCTTCCAACGGCAGGCACCTTTTATTTATTGTCATTGCAAAAGCTAAACTTTTGTGTTTGGACGATTTTAAAATTGTAGACGCTTAGAATCAAATGGTAAGTTCGTTCGAACTTTGAAAGATATTCGTTGTCACGAATATCATTCAAAGTTCTGTGCAGTGCCTCCAATGACCTCTTGTGGGCCATCGTATATTCGTTCCAAACTATACATTGCTCAAACATTGTTCAAACTAAACAACTTTGCCATTGCGATATTTTTGCAAATTGGTGGTTCTTTAACTTGCTTGTTTGATTATAGTTTAAAGGTAGCATGTGCAGCTTCTCCACCTTATAACAAAGTTGCAGTTATTCCAGATGAAGCCAATGTTAGGGCTACCAAATTATGCTTTAAATCCTCGTCACTAACAATAAAATTAGGAATAGTTTTGTGTCCCTCCCTGATTATTAAGGAAGTAATCTAATGCTTCACAGCTTCGACCAAAGTATCGTACCAATTCTTTGTTGTTGATTCAATTGTGGAACATTTGTACGAACTGTTTCGGCCAATGCATCTGGTCGAACTGTTTTTGTTTGGGCTCCATTCTTCTTTACGCAATTGCGTCATGCGTACATGCACATTAGTATTTTCTTGCTGGATTTGTTCTTCTGTTCTTTGGGCTCTTCCATTTCGCATTCCTACAATTTTATTTGTTTGACAGTCCAAATTACCCCTTTGCGTCTTGTTGGCATTGTTCACTGAAAAAAACACACATAAACAGATTGAATTATTTAAATAAATAGTAAGACACTTCAGGACCCGTTGACCCCATTTTTTTTGTATTTAACGGAGGAGGTACTGACGTCACCAGCCTCTTTGCTAAAATGACAGACAGTATGTCACAGCCACAGACATCGTGTCATCGCTACTTATAGGTATAGACACATCATGTCAGCTGTGATATGCTGTCAGTGGCTGCGATAAGCTGTCGCAAACTGCCTGTCATTTTAGGGAAAAGGCTGGTGTCGTTACTTTCTCCTCCGCCAAATACAAAAAAGGTGGGTCAAGGGTCCTGAAGTGTCTTACCATCTACGGATATTTAATAATAGTAATAATTGATCAGATATCGACCAGGGTTAAAAATAATTAAATTACTCATATGGCTAATAAAAAATAAGGGTTGATGACAGAAAGGTCAAAATTAGGGGTTGTATGTATTTTTTAATGTCATATAATGAACAAATAAAAATAAAAAATGTTAATTTTCTCTGTGGTTTTTTATTGAAACAGGTATTCATTGCATATAGACCGTTCGTTTCCATATAGTTCATCAATGTTTCTCCTCTTTTGTTTCGTGTTCCATATCAAAAGTTACCGATTTTATTTTCTGATTCTTCTAGTTTTCTCCCTAATTTGGCATTGAAGTCGCCTATGATGATTGTGTAGGTGCTTTTGTATTTGTTCACTGTTTGTGTCAATGATTCGTAGAATATCTTCACTTCTTCATCCATATGTGATGATGTAGGGACGTAAATTTGTATGATCTTTAAACTTATATTTTTTATTTATGTCCATTATTAGAGCCGCGATCCTTTCTAAAATTTAAATATATTGTCTAATCTTATGGACATGCTGATTAAAGATAAGAAAACCGACACCAGCTAATGATTCTCCTTCAGTTCCTTTATAGTATATTACGTTCCCAGATTCCAACTTCATACAGGCTTCCCCTTTTCTTTTTATCTCACTTAATCCTAATATATCCCATTTCATCTTTTTTAGTTCTTCTTCCAGTTCGGCTAGCTTTTCGTCTCTCATCAGTGATCTGACATTATAAGTTGCAATATCCAGTTTCGTAGCTTGTTTTCGTTGTTTCTGGCAATCTTCTAAAACCCAAGGATTCTTAGCACCCTCTGCTCTTTCCTCGATCCTACCATTGCCTTGGAAGGTGACTCCGGAGCTGCTGGGGACTGAGGGCTAATTCTTACGTGTATCTGTCATAAGAGGGGGGGTAGATTGGCCGTGAACTCACCACGCTGGCCAGACGGGTTGGTAAGTGTGTTTCAGCCGTTCACTCTGGGAACAGACGCTGTTTGCAGCCGCCCACTCTGGGTCAGACGCTGCTGTTGTCGCAGTATCACAGCCGCTTAACTCATAATGTGAGTGACGCCTGTGAGTTTCTGGAATTAAGCCTACAGAATTTTTACTTTCCATAGCCTTAATCCAGTAATGACATTACTGCTGCCTAATGTCATATCCTCAGTTGATCCGCGGTTCCCCCTACTCAGTTCAGAGCTCCTCCTCCACGAAAGCTAAGACCGACACAGCACTTACGACTTATGGGTATGAAAAATAGATAACGACCGATTCTCAGGCCTACCTAATACACATGTAAAATTTTGTACGAATCAAAGACAACTAACACTGTGACATGAACATTTTATATATATATAGAAAAAATCCATAAGGAAAAAAGTTGTCAAACGATTATTTTAATCGACGTGAAGGGTTTGCAGAAATAATTATGGAAAAATATTACAATCCAAATGATCCTCATTTTTTAAAAAATGTTATATTTTGAATAATTCTAGATATAAATGTTTCACCCTTAAATTTTTATATGTTAGTTAGTACTATATTTACCATAGTAGTTGAGTTCTCAAGCAACCAAACGAGAAGTCTGTAATAATAAAGTAGAAATATTTTTGTGGTTAAAGTTAAAGTATAAAAAACTATTTATATTGTTTATACGTTTTCATTTTATTTGTTTTAGATAGAACCACAATATCTACTTTTAACCAGAGAAAATCCAGTTGTACCTATAACTATGGAATTAAACGATTTTGATTACGAAGATTCGCTGGATTTTGATCCCGAAAAAAATATTTATATCGTAACGCATGGGTATATGGAAGGAGGTACAATAAAATGGGTAAGTTAAAATAGTTAGGAGTTTTTCTTTCCCTCATACTATATACGAAAGTTCAACAATATGTTTACCGAAACATTAACTTAAAAAAAATTATTTAACACGTATCTTACATAGTTATAATTCCTGACTATATTTTTTTAGATTCATGAAATCGCAGCTGCCTTATTAGCTCAAGAAGATTGTAATGTTATTATTATAGATTGGCAGCGAGGCTCTGGACCGCCATACACTCAAGCTGTTGCAAACATAAGGTTGGTTGGAGCTATGACTGCGTATCTGTTGTCGGATATTTCAAAGTATACCGGTGATCTCAAGCTAAATCATGTCCATGCGATAGGTCACTCTTTAGGAGCACATCTGTGTGGATACATAGGTTATACTTTACAAAAGGTAAGCTTTATGAAGTGATTTTAGTAAAGTAGCTTTCACGTGATAAACGACAGTATAGGTGAACTAAATTAAACATTCTGTTTGGTAATATGGAATAATTAGAAAAAACAAAATCTTTCTTTAACATGTTGACTTAATCTCTATAAAACTGTTTTTTTTTATTTAGTTATATTGATTTTGTATAGGATTTCAAACTTACGCTGGGAAGGATCACTGGTATGGACCCTGCAGAACCTCATTTTGCCAAAGCTAAACCTCCAGTACGACTTGATAGATCTGCTGCTCATTATGTTGATATTATACATACCGATGCGAGTCAGTTTATAAGAGGTGGATTAGGAATTGTTGAAAGTATTGGACACGTTGATTACTATCCAAATGGCGGCAATGAGCAGCCTGGTTGTACCAAGGGAGTGCTTCAATATATCAGGGACTTCAACGGAAGCGTTTTTAATGGTAAGTTTGAGATGAATTCAAAAACTGTTTTTAAAAAGGCCTTCTTCAAAACATAATAGAATATTAGATACTGTCATGTTTCTTTTTTGGAACATTTATTATAAATGTTATGTATTAATACTCTCTTCTGGTGGTGAATATAATTAATTTTGATAATCGTAAACTGATTAATCAAAATTATTAAATCGATATAATTTAAAATTATTTTACAAAATTATTCCAGTCTTCAGAGATTTGACCTTAAGAAATCGTACAAACAAGCTGAATTTTGCATCAAAATAATGAATGCATCAAAATAGATGACATTTTTTGCAGCTACCACTCAAAGTGCGAAATAGAAGAATACGGTCGCTGGCTTTGGGTGTAGGAGTTTGTATTTACCCGACTGTCTGAAGACATAGGAATACAGAAATAACGTTATTGATGAACACGAAAGGATTAGTTTCTCTGGTAAATATGTTTGATTTCGGATGTTTCAAAAGTCCATTGTATTATTAAAAAATCTACTAAATTAATTCTGTGTGTAATTTTTGTCTTTGTGTCATTTTATCTATCTATTGGGAATCCCAGGTATATAAATACTGGAAAGAAAGACAACTGGACCAACGGCAAAAGTAAGAGGGAAAAATGCTGGAAGTTGAAGCAAGAAAAGTGAGTCAGACTGTATGAGTTAGAATCTGTGTCAGACTGTGAGGCACATGCCCATATGGGAGTGATGCCGTACTAGGAGCGATTAGGGTCTTCTATGTGCTACCTGGAACGAGACAGGAAGCCTTATTGCCGACGAATGGAGTGCGAATGTGAATGAACGGAGAATGAATGAATAAAGGTCAAAAAGGAATTATGTCAAAGGACCTTTCTCTCAGACATTGCAAGTTACGATCTGTCTGAATTTATTAGCACCCAGGTTTCTGTGCCATCGTCTGTTGAAATTCGCAGGTCTCGTCGTCCTTGCCTATTCTGATTTCATAACCAAGATACATGTACATAAATTTGTCATAAATTTGGTCTTACTGATGTTCATTTCACTGAACATCAGTACAAGGAGAAATATAAATTAGATAATTCTTCTTCTTCTAGTTCCTATCCGTTTCGGATGTTGGAAATCATATTGGCAATCATAACCTTGCTCGCTGCGGCTCGAAACAGCTCCGTTGAGGTTTTCTTAAACCATGTTCTTAGATTCCGCAGCCATGATATTCTCCTTCTACCAAATTAGATAATAGTAAAAAGAAAAGAGAACACTGTTGACAATCACGTTACTGTAAAATTAATAAATATTTACTTTTTGATAATCACCCCAATGGAGCGTGTCCCATTGAGATCGAAAGATTAAGGGCAAAACGGTATTCCACGCTGAGTTGATTCCCGTCTTTAGATTTTGTCTTTTTCTATTATGTATTTTATAGTTCTCTTAGCCGATAAAGAACGCCGTTACACATTCTGTCAGATCCCGGCTTTATATATAATTTCCCTCGTTATGCTTATGCTATCTTATTTATTATTTTTTATGTTTATGGCTGGTATCTCCTACAATATATTCTAGATATGGATTTAATAGAATACAAGATAGTACGTATTCTTCTCTAAGGCCGGTATTTGCCGAGAATAAGTTTATGAAATACCTTTGGACTTTTACCCTAAATTTTGTGTTCCATGTGCTATCTTTGACTAGTTTGACCAATTATTTAGATGTGTCAAAGCTTATCACTTCACACTACTCTATATAACATGTCACAAATTATACTATCATATGTAGTGCAAAAATCAACAAACAATTAATAAATTTCAATATTTAATTCTAAGTAATTTTCTAAGATTTGTCTTAATATTAAAATTTGGTCTTTTAGAAACTTTTGCCCATAGAAGCCACACTGATATTTTCTCTGACGCAATGTTGTCTGACTCTGCTGATTTCTATTTTTGAGTTTGTTAATTGCAAACTTATCTCTGAGATTATGGCGGTTTCTTCTTCTTTGTGGTGTTTGATATCTTGAAGGTGACTGAGGAATTGTCTTGATCATATTTAATAGTTCTTTGAAATTTTCTTCCCATTTCTTCAGGATTTCTTCTTGGTCATTTATTATGGTCTCTTTTTTACTTCTATACATAGTCTAGGTATTAACTTTTTTCGAATTTTTTAAGTTTTTGGTAGAATTTTCTCATCTCTGGTCGGTTGTTAACAGTCCCCAGTTCTTGCATATCTCTTCTAATTTATAATTGCTTACTCAGTCCCATTAAAACCTTTTTTCTATGTAACTTTTTCCTTTCTTTCGTCAGCGTTTTATAGTCTTCTTGTAATTGTCTTATTACTGTTCTTTGTTAGAGTCTAACTTATACTTGGTTACTTCAGCACATTCCTCGTCTAACTATAATGTTCTGTAATGAGCCGTTTCGCCTGTCTTTGTCCTGGTGAATTCCTCCACCATTCCAGAGATTTGTGAGCTACCCACTTCTTTGTAGCTGTTCTTGTTACTGACTTTGCAAAGCCGCAGAAGTGTTCCGGTCCAATGAATGGCATTGATGAGCCTTGTTTGGTCATTTCATCTGCTTTTTCATTGCCCTTATGACCCTCGTGCCCCGGTACCCAGGCTACCGTAACCTTGCTACGGCCTCCTAGTTTATTTAGGGCACACACGTAATCCCATGCTAGCTTAGAATCCCATATACGTCTACAGAATTGAGTGCCTTAAGCGCTGCCTGACTATCTGTGAAGATGGCAACTGAACGGAACGTTCTTTTTTGCCTTTCTATTTCTTCAACGCAGTGATGGATTGCAGTTATTTCCGTCTGGAAAACTGTCACATCCTTAGATAGACTTACCGGGAAATGTATCCCTTGATTTGTCCCTACTATGCCGGCTCCAACACCCTTCAATGTTTTTGAGCCATACGTGTACCAGGTAGCTGACTATGGATTAATCTGTGCATCACTGATCTGGCTTCGCCCTGTATAAAGATATGAAGTGGTGGTAAATTCAACAGGACTTCCAACGATGCAGTAGGAGTTGTTTTTATGGCCCCCGTAATACACAGGCATGCTAACCTTTGTGTATTACCTAGCAGTCTTATTGCTCCCACTTGCTGCGTCTTTGTTCACCACGTCACCGAGCCATCATGGGTCTAATAACCCTTGTGTATAACCATAGAGTCATTTTGGAGTTAAGTCCCCAATTCTTACCGCACATTCTTCTACATCTGCCCAGGGACATAGTAGCTTTCTGTGTGGTTTTTAGAATGTGAGTATTCCATGTAAGCCTATAATCAAAATATACTTCAAAATATTTTGATTCTTTGGCAACTGAAATCTCTGTTCTTCCCAGCACCGGTGGTTTTAGGCCTTGTAGTGCTGTTTTCTTGGTGAAATTGACGATTTGTGTTTCTGATCATTGAATATCAGTCTCTCTTCTTTGCATCAGTCGTCAACTATATTTGGGGCTGCTTGCATTCTCACAGACACAACCTGAGCAAACCTGCCGCTGACGACGATTGTTATATCGTCAGCATATTCTAGACAATAAAAGCCTTCTGTGGACAAATTTCGGAGATCATCTACCAAGGTAGCCCAAAGTAGAGGGGGCAGAACTCCTCCTTGTGGACAGCCTCCACCTACTTTTGCTTTGATGGTTGCTTTATCCAGAGTGGACAGTACTATAGTATTCTCTAGGCATGCCCTTATCCATCTGCATATTACCGCAGGTGCGCCTCGTCTACTCATAGCTCCTATCACAGAGCTGGTGGTAACATTATTAAATGCCCTTTCTATGTCTAAAAAGGCGGCCATTGCTATCTCTTTGTCTTCCATTGACTTTGAGATAAGCCATGGTCTACAGGATAGACGGGATAGATTTTGTTTTGGTTCAGAGCAACAGTTTATGCCATTCTGATGAGACCTAAAGAGGTCGAAATACGTATAAGCGGCTTCTTGTGGCTCTGCATCAAAATTAAAATCTAATACCGTCATTATATTTTATTTCTTTACTCTGTTTTTAGTACCAGAAACTGAATTCACTACGAATTTTGACCATGATAAACGGCATGTGGAATGTATATTTTAGATTCTCTTGCCGACTAATTCATCAATCTGTCTGCTTTGCAAGTTTTAGAAAGCACAGTGGTAAAGATTTGAATTCAGTTTCGCCATTTAGGAAATCTTAGGATTCCTAGTGTTGCAGTTAAATTACTTAACATTACTCCATTGTCGTTAGATTCGACGTGCAGACTGAATTGTCAATGTTTAGGCTATACCAGTCTTCCGGTATGATCTAATAGACAATTTCGTTATTATCGCTTTTAACACAAACTGTGTATTCTATGACTAATTATAAATATATATTATTTTTAGGGGTTAAGAAATATTTGGGATGTAACCACGTAAGAAGTCATGAGTTTTTCTACGAAAGTATAAAAGCAAACCCAAAATGCAAATTTTTGACAGTTTCATGCTCGAGTTTTCAAGTAAGTGAATTAAAACTGTAATTTTTTATTTTTAGTTGAAAATAATTACTAGAAGTTTTAAATTGTTTTTGCTTTTTATTTAAAAGCTGTTTTAATTAATGGCATAATTGTAGTTACGCGAAAGAAATACACTTCCTCATTTTATTTCATTCTCACGTCTCACTTTGTTTTCTATAACAGATTGAAACATGAAATATAACAAAATAGGAATCGCTGCTTCTTATTTTATTAGACTTTGTGCATGTTCTTATTATATTTCAAGCCTGTAGTCGTAGTTGTAATGTTGACTGCCAGATTTTACGATATCTATTAAATCTCTTGTTGGTTTTAAATTCCCTTCTACTTTAGTTTTGCTAGTTTCTCAATATTTATTTATGTAACATGCTGATTCCACTGCCATCTTTAATATCTTCCCCTTGTAAAATATTCTGGATGTTAAAGATATTTTTTACGTTATTTGATTTTTTATCTGTTAGTGTTTCTCCCAGTGTTCTTATTTCTAACGTTCAAGTATTCCTTTATTGTACTGTATATGGTACTATTTCTATTTCGTATGCCATTATTGCTCTTATACATGATTTGTATATGCTTATTTTCCTAATCTCATGCCCGTATTTCTCTTATCCCATCTGGTCATAGTGCAGACAAGTAGCTTATTGAACTTGGTGTATGTTTTAATGTGTTTTAAGGTAATTGATTAATTGCCTTGTTATTAAGTAAAGTGGGCTTCATCGTCTTTACAAAGAATTGCTTAATATATCCGAACAACTGCGATATCTCAAAAAAAGTCATATACAGTCATCATAGGCCCAAGTTGCACAAGGTCATTATCATGTCCAAATTGTTTGCAAATGTTACATATTTCATCACCTTCTTTTCTCTTTTCAACTGGAGTTTTCCAATTACTTGCAACTTTTCTTGTAACCTTTTGTAATTTTTCAGTAGTTTTCTCCTTTTTTTGCGAGCTCAGATTTTAATGGAGTATGTTTGCCAATGTTGTCTTTTTCGCTGTGAAGTAGAAATACTGGAACAAATTTTGGATTGGCGTATTTTTCGTTTTTTCCTAATTGATAGGGTTTTGTTATCATCTCATGTCTTCAGCAACTTCTTCCAAACTAAATTCAGAATCGGACGAATTGATGATAATCTATTACTTAAGACGTTCAATCTTTCTGAAATGATTTTACTTGTCCCCTTCTCCAGGTTCTGGAGAAGAAGTATTATGACTTGGTCCTTGTTCTGGAAAAGGAGTCTTATTTCTGGATTCTATTGCTTGTGAAATATCATGGGGTATTTTCCTAGTAAATAGTAAATTTTCTGGAGCAATTGTATTGGATCCATCTTCATTATTTTCATTGATTGGAAGAAAATCTTCCTCACAAAATTACGATTGATAGGAAATATTCCGGTAGTTTTGAATCCTTTTAAAACCTTTTCTATCGAGGTAACCCTAGTGTAAGCATTTCCAAAAAAATCAGCTATATCACTATCTTCAATTTTTTTATAATATCTACTTTTCGTGTACTTTTTACATTCTTGATAATAATAAGTTTTTAATGCCTTGAAAACAATTATATCTAGATGCTTCGTTCTATGAGATGTGTGGGGCGGGAGTGATAAAAATGGATGCCATAATTTAGACAAAAATTGTACGAAGTTAAACAGGAATGAGTGGAATAATTATCAAGTATTAGAAGAATAGGTTGCTGTGGAATACCGCTAGCAAATTTTGCGAATTGTTGCAAAAATTCGGTAAACAGATCTTCTGTAATCCATCCAGATTTCGAACATTTGTATATCGCACCTTCGGGATAATTTTTTTCCAAACCGTCTTTTGCGACTATGAACACTGCCTTTAGTGGTTTTCAAGCTACAGGGATTGACCAATCTACTGATCTATTTTTACGGAGGTTTATTTTCTTCTTGCGAACACAACTGACATTTATCAAGCTGGATCTTAACAAGGGAGTCGAGCTGGTCAATGCCAATCATAGGTGCTCTTGGATGTCAACTAACAAAATTAATTCTGCATCTATCATGTCATCTAAAATTATAATGGCTCTTCCAAAATCAAACGAAGTACAAGACTGCTGTCTTGACAGATTCGCCAAACAATCATTAGTTGGAAACTACTATAAAAGAAAATGAATAAAAGAGGACTGACAAGGAAAAAAGAGCAAAGATGAAACTTTTCAAGAAGGAAAATGAAAATACGATTGCAAAAACTTATAGAAAATGTCTGAATAAGAATAGAAAAAGCAAGGAACAAAGAAACAAGCAAAAACTAGTAAGACCGATTCTGATAAGTATTCTGACTGTGAATGTTTATATTATGATGCATTTTGCTCAGTTCAGTTTTACTGAATACTATTAACGGTTATGTTGTTTGTTTGATATATTGTGAATTCATAATTGCTTTGTAGGAGTAGACAGTTAGAATGACGAGGTTATCCTTTTATGCATACTGTGTAAAACAGTTTAACTTTGCTACAAAAGTATATGTGTAAAATTACGGAATTGTGGAACTTTTTTTACGTTTGAAACGTTTTTAGTTTTTTAAACATTGTACAAAATGTTAACATTATAATAAGTTTATAATATTATAATATTTATTTTTGAAGCCGTTATTATTGACCGTTTAGTATTTTTAAAATGAATTTTAAATTAGTATCCTTCCCCGCATTGGGATCCCCTACCTTGAGTTCTTTTTTGAAGTTGATATTTTTTTAGATATCATAATTATAGATGTTTATGTTACTACATAATTCTTATTTACTGGTTAATTATTTTTAAAGGATTTTACAAGTGGAAAATGTTTTGGATGTGGCCCTAATAAAGAAAACTGCATTCCATTTGGTTTTCATGGTCGGAAACATTACCAACTATACCTCGCTGATAGATGGAAGCATACTAGTAGGATTCAGTATTTAATTACGGGGGAAAGTGGTCCTTTTTGTAGTAAGTGAAATATTTCTATTGTTGAGTTTTGTAGCATGAATATTTTCTTTTCTATTATAATTTTATTATTATTACTCCCCTTACTGGGGAGTAAGAGTCAATTATTTTCATTGAATAAATAGGGTATTAACTACTAACGTTTAATGGTAATAAATTGCAAATTATATTCAAAAGAAAATATGATTCAGTTTCAAATTAAAAATGAAGAAAAATGCTTAATTAATTACTTGACAACAATACATACACTATTTTTTTTAAGTTTGATACTTGTGAAGAAATTGATTTACTAGCATTTTCATATAGTTTTATGTATGTACACTAGCCCAAAACACCCCAAAATAGCGAAGAGCCGCGAAGTGCACAGATGATACAAAAGGAAGCACATGTCGGGGATGCACGTTTTTAGTAAATTCAAAATATTGTCGCCAAGTCCTGTCCGAGAGTTGTCTTATAACTATTTTATTTACGATGAGTATCCAATTTCTTATTACTCATTATTTTTGTTAAGGACTTTTACCTTTCAAATAACATGAAATCAAAGACAATTGGAAAATGACAAATATTCTAACGTGGACCAAATTGTCTTGTACTCATTGTACAATTGTTACTTTAACCGGTTCTGTTAACCGGTTTTGTGCTTATCTCGATAAATTGTAAAAACTCGATAATCGTACTAAGTTACATGAGTATTACCCCTTTTGTACACATCCATACGATTTTCTAGTAAGGTAATAATAAAGTAATGATTTTATGGAAAGTTTGTATTTACAGTAAATGGCATTAAAATTTTGTACAGCTCGTCGCAAGATATTCCGGATTTAATCTTCTAGTTATAGTTGTATACAGGGTCGGACTTATGTACTGATACATTTTATCAAAATTACGGCAATCCCACAAAGTAAATATTTCTTTGTTTCTTAATTCACTCAAAAGTTTATTTTAAGTTGGTAAGTTATTCACTGAATACATATGATACATTGTTTCCCGTATAACTGATGTAATAGTAATACTCGATGGGCACCAGAATCCTTTCTTTTTTTCGCAACACTATATCGTCTTTTAAAGTTCGTACACAGTGGATCGTGGTAATTGTCAAAAAAAACGTCCTTTTGACCACTTCTGGCTTAACCATCATCGAAAGAAGACCTAAGAAAAAATATCATCACTTTATTTTTTAAAGAATTCGGCTCGGAATTCTGTTTTTATGAATTAATTAATCGGTGAATATGATTAACCTTCCTAATACCGGGGCTAACAATTTTATTAATATCTATAATTACGTTTAATCGATCGCTTTGACAGTTTAGAATATTGGTAGTTGATGTATTAAGAGCACAATGAAGTAGTAAAACCCAGAATATCGCGAACAGACAATTAAATATACTCCTCGGTTTTCGCGGAAATGTATGTGGGCGAGAATTCGCCCTACGTGGTATCGAGTGTTTTCACGTTCTACAAATCTGATTTTATCAGTTTAGACGAAAGTTTTGAAAAATGGTTACTAATGATGGTAATAATTACTTGCCATGATGTGCAGTCGCATTCTTTACATATTAGCAGTTGATTGTAATGTGTTTCTCTAATTTTTGAAATTCGATTTCAAAGATAAGATTCACTATTTTTTTTATAATGTCCTTATATTACTCCATATTTGTAGTTATTGCATTGACTTCCGTTCTAAAGGAACGACAAAAGAAAAATAAAGCTCTTTTCAAATAAACTTTCTTGTCACAGAAGCCCATTTAGTGATAATTTCATTCAGTAAACATTATCCTTATTCCTGAATAAAATTCCAAGAAATTTTCAAATCTCTTATAAACACTGGCTTTTCGTAACTAGAAATTTGTAATTCTGAATTATAAGTAGAAATGCTATGAAATTATTAAATTTAAATAGGTACACACATTTTCTTTTATTCATTAATAGTAGCATTTCTTGAGTCATCCAGTCTTTATGTTTTTTATCCTTTGGTTTTAAGTTTTCATTTGCTGTTTTAACTATTGCTACGTTTATATTTTCCCATTTCTGATCAATGTTATAGCTACTTTTATTCAGTTCCTGGGCATTATGTAGATTTTCAGTAAGAGTTTTTACAGTTTGTTCCTTTGTTTGTGGTTCCCTTAATCTCCTAATATTAATTCTACTCTGTGTGGGTTTTTTAACCAGTTTCAATTTGGTTCGTAATGTGACTACTATGGGGTTATGGTCTAAACCGATGTCTGATCCAGGGTAAGTTTTGGTAGACAGTATAGAATTAGGAAATCTTTGTCTAATGAGGACAAAGTCAATTTGATTTTGGATTATTCTATTCGTTGTATCACCAGGATATTTCCATGTATACAATCTTCTTTTTGGTAGCTTAAAAAGTTTATTAGCTATTACAAATTCTTCCGTCTGGCAAAATTGTATCAAACGGTCACCACGTTCATTTCTAGTTCCTAGACCATATTCCCCCACATATTTATCTACTCTTATTGAGTCGCCCATTACTATTGTAGTGGTTACATTATTCAGTAATTTTTTTATATAAACAATCAACTGTGATATCTTCTCCGTTATGTGAAAGTTATTGATAGTGCAACGAAGTAAAATTTAATTAAATGTATCCATTTTTATTTTTGATGACCTCGTTTATTTCAACGGAGTAAAAAACAGTTTTTTCCGGCAATAACTTGGCGGCAAATCTTTACCAGCAATTCTTATATAACTTTTTTAGAGATTTACAACTTAAAATTTAATTGGATTAAAAGTAATAATTATTCAGTATTTCATTCTACCTAAATACTTGTCACTGCAGCAACTCGTTCCTACGCTTTCCTTAAATCACCATATTTATATTAGAACGATACAAAAGAGCACAGAAGTAACCGAAACTTTTTAGAACTATGCCACTACGCACTCAGAATTCGAATCCATTCACTATCTTGGGCTAGTTTATGTATGCCTAACCAATTTTCTATACATGTATGGTCGTATCTCGAGTTTTCTAGAAGCATGGCATACAAGTAAACCTAGAAAGATTGAAAACTCGAAATAACCAATAAATGTCATGGGAAAATTACAATTAATATTAAAAACATAAGGTTAACCATACTTTTATAGACTTTTTTAAGTAATTAATACTCAAATGTTTTAGGGCATCACTACCGAATAACCGTCCAAGTGTCCAATTCTAACTACAGCCGTACACACGGTGGAGAAATCGGCCAACTTATATTCACTATGCATAGTACAAGTGACGGAAGGGGGCACAAAACCGAACCCATTGGCTTCATTAGCGGTTTCCACGAACCAGGAGGTTTATACACAGGTGTTGTAGCTACTGATTCAGTTCCTCATATGAAAGCAATCGAAATAGAATGGAAATATAACAGTAGTTTGTTCAACCCCTTAACTTGGAGGATTTTGACAACACCGAAGATATATTTAAATAAGATTACTGTGGATGCGCTAGAAATATCTCAGAGGTATATATGACATTATATTTATCAATATAGTTAATGCTATTTTATGACATGTTTCCTCCATTGTTTGATTTTTGAAACATCTCTCAGATTTCCTTTGAATCTATTTTACGTAAATTTGGCTAAATTAAACTTTTTTGATTAATTTTTTCTTTAACCCTCCGTTAGTCGCTATCGGTGTCACAGATCAACAGCAGAATTACTCATTCGGGATTTACAAATAACTGTTCTTTTTATATCGCCACTTTCTGTACCTCTTCATATCAACCAAACTCGTGTTAGTGTACATTCTTACCTGCTGCTACAGCTGTGCGAGTTTTATAGTTATTTTTAGTTCGAGACTCCGTAGCCACTAATGGTGTAGCTATTACTTGTTAGCATAACTTGCAGATCAGGTAAATATGTCCTTTGAATCCGAACAAAAACTCTTGTTGAAATTATGGGAAATGGAAAATTTTTTTAATTGTCTGATTAATTAAAAGAAATCACTTTGTTCCTTCATCGATCTTTGTATTTTAGTTTCTCTTGCAATGTCTCGTCTAGATCGGTAAATACAATTCGATTTAAATTGGTCAGTTTACAGTCTTTATCATACATCACAGACGCTCTTACTTAAAAATTATTTGTGAATCATAGTAACTTCAGCTGTTTATTTACTTACATTTTTCTATTAAATATAATAAACTGTTAATGTAAAATTTTTGTTCGGTGACCTTCTATTGACTTATTATTCAGTTGAAAGCGTAACTATGTAAGAGAATCATATGAGTAGGTTATAATTACATGTTATATTATGTTAAAAGCTATTTTAACCTTAGTTGTATGCTACTGACCGAAGGAGTAACTGAATAGGGTTGAAAAGATAACAATGCAGATAATAATGCAGAGTAGATTAAAGGTTTGAAATATATTCATGAATTTAACGCCGATCAAAACGTTGCCATAGTTAAAATTTAGGTTCCACTTAATCTTCAACCAGTCATTTACCATCTTTAACGGTAATCAACCAAAATTTCCATTTTGTACAGACAAAACGGTATAATAAGTGACACAGAAATCCGAAAACCCATTATAAATTATGATATTTTGATATTGAATATTTATTACAATTATCAGAATATTAAACAATTTTGTACAATTATATATATATATATATATATATATATATATATATATATATATATATATATATGTATATATATATATATATATATATATATATATATATATATATATTGTATTTTGTACAATTATATGTATATATATATATATATTTATATATATATATATATATATATATATATATATATATATATCAATTATTATTTATAACTGGGAATAAGCCACAATTAAAGATAAAAATACGTTTATTGACGTTTCAATTTCCAATTCGGAAATCGTTCTCAAAATACAAACATTAAATTAAACAAATTTTGTTTTTTGTTTTATATATATATCAGTTTTAAAACGTCTTGCGACGTTGTCCGATGCCTAATTTCCATGAGACTCTATCATCCCATTGGCCCTCTCTAAGGTCTCTTGCGCTCATCGCCTTCGTTACTCCCTCTTTCCAAGATTTCTTGGGTTTTCCTCTCTTTCTGCGCTTTGGTGGTACCCATTGTATAATTATTTTTGGGAGTCTTGAGTTATCTATCCCCTGGACGTGTCCATATCGTACCATATCAGCTGTTTTCTTTCTATGTCTGTTGTTAGAGAGCCGTCAACCATCATTCGCTGTCTTATCTCATCATTACGTATTCTCTCTCTGCGTGACACTCCTACTGATTTTTTAAAAGCCTCCATTTCTACTGCCTCCAGTTTTCTTCTGTTGTTTTCGGTTATTCGCCAAGTTTCCGCTGCGTACAGCGGAAACTTGGCTTTTAAAAAGAGATTCGTATTGTATTTTCTTCTTTTTCCTATTTCATGACTCCACAGTATGCTGTTTAGACAACCTATTGTTTTTCTGAATTGTGTTATTTTTTTGTTTATTTCTTCATCATCTTTCCCCGTTGTGTTAAAAACGATTCCTAGGTATGTGTAATGGTCGCAGGGCATGATGATTTCGTTATTTTCTAATGTGATGTTTGATAGTTCGGTACCTATTAGCAGGTATTTTGTTTTTTCTGTATTAATTTCCAGTCCCCACTTTCTATATTCTTCTTGTAATTTCCTTGCCATGTACTCCAGATCATCTTTATCGTTTGCTATAACAACCTGGTCATTAGCAAACTGCAATGCATGCAAGCAAATCTCTCCAAGGTCTACGTCCATGCCTCTGCGTTTTCGTTTCCACTCTTCCACTGCTTTTGCAACATATATTTTAAACAAAGTCGGTGATATACAACACCCCTGAGGTAGACCTTTATTAGCCAGGAAGCTTTGCGATAGTCTGTTTCCATTTTTTATTTGTGATGTTGACCCTTCATACAAATTTCTTAAGGCTTTTATTAAGGTGACACTAATATTCGTCTGTCGTAACACATTACAGAGTTTGTTTACAGGAACTGTATCGTACGCCTTCTGCAAGTCAATAAACATGAGGTGGGTTTCTTGATTTGAGCTTAATTTTTTTTCTATGAGTTGTTTGAGGCAGAAGATATTATCAGTACAGCTTCTTCCTGTTCGAAAACCGAATTATTCTTCTTCCTCTTGGTCTTTGTATTTTTTCACAATGCGGTCTCTAATTATTCGTCCATACAAATGGCTGAATGTACTAGTGACTGATATCCCTCTATAGCTTTCACATCTAAGCTTATCTCCTTTCTTATGGATCGACGAAATATAAGCAATTTTCGACTCGTCGGGTACGGGAGAACCATTTATAAATTGATTTGTGCACCAAGTGACCGTCACTTGTACAATTATCAGGGTAAAATAAACAAACGATCAAAATTTCAATATGATTAAAACAACATACAGTATTAAATCAATGATTAATGTAATGATGCACCTAGTAGTGCAAAACACTCTTGGATACGCCTGCACTCCCTTCTGATGAGGTAGTCAATATCATCCAGGAGTATCTCGTTCGATTCTTTGATTTCAACTTCTCCCGAAGTTCTCTTTAAGTGTGCCTTAATAACACTATACAGCGAAAGCGACATATTGACACTGAAATGAAGTCAATAATTCATAAAGCCAATATAAGATCAATTACGACATATGCCTCAGAAACAAGACCTGACACAGCCACAATACAAAGACTAATGGAAATAAATGGATACTAAACAGAAAAAAAATTGAAATATCCACATAAGCAGAATGAGAAAAACCACGTGTGGTCAAAATAACAAGAGATAAACCACCAATCAATAGAAGAAGTATTGGATGACAGTGCAAAAGATGGAGTGACAACTTTCCATAGAGGTATCAATCCGAAAATAAACAAGCAAAATTGCTTATTAAAAAGAGAAAGACAAAGAAGAAGTTCTTCCAAAGTTTGAGAAGGATGCTCCAAATTGAGAAGTCTCCGATCCATCGTGTTCCACATGGGTTGAATTGGGGATAATTCTGGATATCTCGGGGACCAGGGCGAAAAATTGACTTCAGCCTTCGTTCAAAAATTGGATGTTGGAACGTCTAATGATAGGCTATATGGTGAAGTTCCAGAATTTTTTCAACGTATCGCTGAGCTGTCATATTCCTTCTGACAAAGAATAAAGGTGAAAATAGGGCTATTTAAAATGTATTGTCATATTTCTCTTTCGTTTCATACAAATACTATCGTATTTCTCTGTTGTTTCCTATGCTTTGAAATGATGTGAAACTCTCTTTTTTGTTATATAGATGCATAGAAATCCCAATCTTGTCCTCTATTCTTCTTTTTCTTACGGTGCCTATCCTTTCAGAATGTTGGCAATCAACATGGTTATCCTTACTTTGCTGGTCACCATCCCTCATAGTCCCCTTTTTCCATTTACCTTGCCTTGGAGAACAAGTTGCAACAAGTCATAGCTCTCCTCATTTGCTCATTTTTCATAATATAGTCCAGATATTCTAATTTGAGCTCTTTGATTGTATGAATGGTCCCGCATTCCTTCCTCATTCTGCGTAAAATCTTAACATTTGTCACCCGGTCCACGCATGAAATTATTAAGATGTGCCCGTAACACTTCATCTGGAAGTATTCGAGTTTTTTTTAAAAAAGCTTCAGAAAACATCTAAGCTACTTAGATACCGTACTCCGATACCGATATTACCGTACTCCGTTTTTTAGGTATAAAAAATATATCGCCCGAAGATGGAAACTTTGGTTCTAAAATCATAAATCAATACTGAGTTTGCTTTCCTGACATGCTGATACCAAGATATGTGTAGCTATCTATCCCGTCAATTGACTGTTAACCAGAAGCTCTGAATTTAGCATTTTGCGTTTATTGTCTACCTTATATTTTTTGTATTAAGATCCATTGCATACTCTTTATGATGTTTGATATGCATGACATTATTGTTTGTAAACCCTCTACTGTCTACAAAAACTACTGCTTTGTTAGCATATCTAATGTTAGGTACACTCCGTTGACTGATCTGCTTTTATCTTGTTTTTTCCTGCGCTTTTTAGAACATATGTTAAAGAAATCAGGGAGAACATGCAATCTTGTCTAATCTAACTCCTCTATATGTCGAGATTGTCTCTGTCAACCGATCATCTACTCTAATATCTATAGTTTTTTTTATATAGAGATAGATGATTCTTAGGTCTTTTTCTTCTGAGCCCACTTCTTTTAGGATTATTATGAGATGATCATATTTCGTTTCTATAGTTGATAAAATTACGACACAGTTGACGTATTTTTATCACTGAATCAAAACTTGTACAGAGAAAAGAATCTCCCGTTTACATAAAGCATCGCGGAATCCAAATTGTTTTTATTGTATGTCTTCTTCTTCATTTGCTTCATCCTTTAAGGACATTGGCGATAATCACAGACCATTTTACTCTGGCCGCAGCTGTTCTGAAGAGATCTAATGTTGCTTTTCCTCTCCACAGCTTTAAATTTTTCAACCAGGATGTGCGTCATCTCCCTGGTCCTCTTTTTACTTCCACTTTCACTTGTATAACCAATCGCATCAACTCATATTGACTATAGGCTGCATTGCGATCGCTTTAACATATCACTTAAATTGTTTGTGACTTTATATAAAACAATTTTTGTAATATTCGGGGGGCTGGCAGCAGCAAAACATTATTTGTGATCCGGAAATAGTTCGTAAAATGTTTGAATGTACTCTCCTTTGTCATTTAGCTTAATGTCTTAGGGATAACTGGGATTTCTAGCAAGATATTAAATTAAAATATTGATTTTAGACTAATGGCTAGCCTTTTACGATCTTTTCCCTCTGAAAGATACCAACCTATACAAAATAATTTGTACAGACGGTCAGCTGAATTATTGCTTATTTACTTAAACCTATATAAATTCAACGAATACTTAACTCATTTTTTAAACTAATTTCATTTCTTTTATTCTTCTTTATCATGTTTATAATTTTTATAAATATTTTATGTATACCTACTAAAAAATTATTAACTCTAGAGACAATTTACTAAATATTTTATTTTTTTCAGCATCACGGTTTGCCCAAAGAATTATATGCCTCTTGCAAATGGTATACCACAACTGATGATACCGTCCTATTGTTAAACAAATGTTTGATTTATCATTCATACTGAGCATTTACATTTGTTACTTCATTCACTTGTCGTTTTCATTATTTATTTTTAATTGTAAGCATGCACTATCAATGCAAAATAGAAATATAGTTTTTTAGCCGTTGTTTTCTTTATAGAATTACCCATAAAATCATAAATGTTAAGTGATAATTTATCTGTAATAATTTAGGTAAACATTCTTAGGTAAATATCTGTGGCTCATTTTCAAAGCTATGATCAGAGCTACTTTCCAAGTTCAGGATAATTTCACAGATTGTCTTGACACCAAAACCTGGAAAAAACCAAAATACCTAAAAATCTTATAGACCTATCAGTTTGCTGTTGATTCTATTAAAGGTATTCGAGAAGCTTCTATTAATAAAATTGATTACAATTTTAGAAAAAAAAAGTGAACTTATTCTGGACCACCAATTCGGCTTCAAGTTAAAACATGGGACAACCGCTAGCAATTCTAATCTTTCAATCGTCTAACGTTTTTAGAATAAAGTGTTAAGGTTTATAGTAAATGCCTCATGGTATGTTACATCCTCCTGTATACAAAAAGATATGGAAGTACCCTCTAGAAGATATATATGTACCGGTATATTAGACGTCATGGCCTTTGGGTAGGCTACATCGGGCTATAATTCAAACGCACTTCCACTAGAGCATTTTGGCAGTGAAGCGAATGAGAGCCGACCACCTGCCCCGCTTGGCTATCTGACTAATTAAGTTTCTCGAGTAACTCTAATTCTGTAATAAAACTCGTAATAATATCTACTGTTTCCAAGGAAAGAGTCGGGGATTCCAGAAATAGAACTCTACTTCTGCAAATAAATCCTACTCTTACGTCCTCGAAAGCTTAGCAGCGTAACCACTGGGTGCATGTCGTACAACGGATGTGCGTTATCTCACAGACAAAAGAGGGTAGAAGGTGAGTTTCTGGCGCCTTAAAACTAGAACCATATCGACTAAGAGAATAAAAACTACATGAAATTCTGGTCCTCCATGTTGGGGGTCGAGTAACCGTAAGAAGCGCAAAACCACGAAATCTTTAAATAAGCCTAAGATATACCAACACGAAATATTTAGGCGGTAGGTGTGTTCTTTTTTAGAATCACTTTGCCGAGTACACTGGCATTACAGCCACTAGACATATAATATGTTATATATGTTAACTTAAAGAAATCCACAATAATATGTTTCATTTAATTTGTATAAATGCATTATAAAGCGTTTTTATGAAGAACATTTGTTCGGAACACACGTAACTGTAATCGAACGAAGGTGAAATTTTGGCATAAATTGGTAACACTTATTTGACAGTTGCGGATTTGACACTTTTTGTACCTTATTATTTTGAATTTTAAAGAGAATACCTCTTGTTTTATATTTTTACCTATTTAATAAAATCTGTTCTTTTTAGAACAAAATTAGTGTGTTTTATTTCAAGAATGTCACATAAGAATTTAAATAGTCGTTGTAAAGAGATGGCAATACTTTTGCAATAATTATGTGACCTATTTGATTTAAACTGGATTCAGGAGTTTTTTATACTTTGGCAACTATGTCAACTTCGATATCTGACGTAGATAATGACGTGAAACGGTATGTAAATTAGATGAAGTATAGATCGGTCTTATTGACGACTTGAGCAAAGAAACGTGGTCTACGCACTCAGTACATAGAACATTCTAATATTAAATATACCAGGAGCACAGGCATTGCTACTCAATGAGCTCCAAAAATACAAAATAAAACTAGTTGCAATACAAGAAAATAAATGGCTAGGATACGGAATAAAAGACACAAAGACGCATACAATACTATAATAGTGGAAACAAGAGTGTGGAGTAACCTTCATAGTTGACAATAAGATGAAACACGCTAAATTCGAGTTTAAACCAGTGAATGAGAGAATATGTAAACTAAGAATAAAAAAAACTTCTTTCACCTCTTAATAATTAACATATACTGCCCAACAAAAGAATATAACATATTAATAAAAGAAGATTAGTAAGAAAATCTGGAAGAAGTATACTACAGCTTACCGAGAAATATCAAGATCGTACAAGGAAATGTGAATGCCCAAATAGGCAAAGAAGACCTTTTTTTAAAAACCATTATTAAGGAGATGTAGGACAACCATGAACTCTACCAACTTTTTAAAGGGGAAGTGATCTAAGAATTCGTCAAACCAAGACTGGCTGGTCATGTATTGAGAATCAAGGCCGAAAGATTGACGAAAAGAGCTTAAGATAGTAAAATGTAGGGCCTAAGACCAAAAAGAAGGCAACAGAAAAGGTGGGAGGATGAAGTGAATGAAGAGAATGCGTAAAATTTGCTAGAAGTGGGAACTTGTAGAAGATCGACGTGCGATTGGCTGAAGGTTGAAGGCATAGTTTAGAGGAGGCCAAGGTTCAATTTGGGCTGTAGTGCTGTAGCATTTTTATTTTTCCATCCTTTATAAGATTTAAATTCACACCTTAAAGATATTCGAAAGAGAAACAGTTATCTTCAAACAAGCAGACATAGTCTAAATGTTTATTTACACAGTTTAAATTGTATCGAATAAAAATAATCATTTTTTAAAATCGTTTTCTCTGTAAATCTTATTAGTTCTTATAGGCAATTAGTGATTTGTGTTTTAGAATTTCTAAAGAGAATATGCACAATAATTGTTGTTTGCACTTAAAAATCCTTCTAAGCAGAGCCGGGCGTAGAAAATGTCTACAGACGAAAGATCGGAATGCATGAATAAAAAATCATTCCCTATTTACACCATCAGGGAGTCACAGTCGAGTTCAGATTTTAGCTGGTCAGGTACCCAAACAGCACAGTACGTCTTAAGTACGTACAATTTTGGTACTGTACGTACATGATGTAAAATGTACGTTTTAAGTACGTACATTGTTGTACATACCAGTTCGTACAGAAGAGTACGTACTTATTACGTCTTAAGTATGTACATACCAGTACGTACAGAAGAGTACGTACTTATTACGTCTTAAGTATGTACCATGAGAAAGAAGAGTTAAAGCATATTTATTATGTTAGGTTATGTTAACCTAACCTAATTTATTTAGTTAGGAATTTTACACCTCGAGTACAGTTGTGATGTGATAATTCATTGCAAGACAGTTTCATTTAGATTTTTTTTACTTATTTTTGGTGTTTGGCGCTTGTGGTTTCCTGTTATTTTATTCAGTCGTGTGTTTTTTGTGTCAAAAATGTGATAAGAAAGTGGCAGAGCAAGAAATTGGACGATGGTTGAAGAGAGTCGGGGATCGCTTAAATACTTTCTTATTTTTAAAAGAATAAAAATTGAATTTATTAAAAAAAAATAAAAATTTATTCACCTATATTTACTTTTATTTACATCAATCATCATAAGTGTGTATAGTATGTACATAATATATATATATATATATATATATATATATATATATATATATATATATATATATATATATATATATATATATATAGTATGTACCAAGTACCTTCAATATGTACTAGGTACCTACTTACAGTACGTACCAGGTATGCACTTTCAGTACGTACTAGGTACGTCCATTATTTGGAAAATGTACGTTTTATGTACGTACTTCGTACAGTAAAGTACGTACATTGTACGTACTTTATGTCCCATAAGTACGTACTTAGTATATCTTATGTACGTACTTGTGCTTACTGGGTAGTGCTGGCTTGTACCATCCCGGTAGAAGCAAATAAAATGCAAATTTTTATAAAGAAATATCTTTAAGGGTATCATTTTGTAATGGACATTTCTGTTTTTGTTAAAAGAACTTGAATATGTCTAAAGTCTGGCAAATATTAAATGAAACTATAAATCTAAAATCATGCGCCGTAAGTGGTCAAATGTAGCCGAAATCACGTGTCTTCATGAGTTCTAGGAAGTTTTAGAAACTTTTTTTTTAGCTTCAAGTTCTAACTGTTTGCGAGAACTTTTCACATTTCTACTCTCATCGCTAGTAAAAGGTTCTTCCATTTTTATTTAATTAAACAATAATTTACAAAAGCATTACATCGTTAAACACAAAGGCACCTAACACACAATTTACTTATAGCTGAAAAAACTAAATATATGTATACTGGCTATATACGCACCCTTTCTGCGCTACTGACACGCTTCCTGGTATCATTCATTGCGATAGCTAAACGATACGAAAAACCCAACTGATCACGCTCATGGGTAATTTCACTTATTATTTGCCAAACTATAGTTAAACTCAGTTTTTATAATTAAGCCAGTAATAAATACAATTAGCAGATAACTTCAGATATTATTTTTATATCTACTAAACATACTTTCTCTTGAATAGTGAATAAATTATAATAATTTTTCATTAAAACTAAATAAATAAGTAAAATTGTCGCTTTTTTTGAATATTTTAGGAATAGATTAAACGTATGTGTTCTATTGTGTTTATATATATATATATATATATATATATATATATATATATGTATATATATATATATATATATATATATATATATATATATATATATATTATTTCTTTATGAATCCTCTAAAATGTAGGATCATTCCTTGTCACTCAAAGAAAAAATAAGGTGGCGTCTTTTTTTCCTTTTTATTTAGTTCTATTTTTTATCTACTTTTTTTTCAGTTAGTATAATTCTGCTTTTTACCTTGCTTCTGGCATCAGTATTCACCTTAATTAAAGATTTGTGGACCCACTTCCCAAAGCTCACCGTTATGTATTTCAAAACACTTGAGTTCCGTCGCATAGTGAACGACTTTGGACCTGGAATTCTTCATTTATCTTATGGAATTCCTACATAAAACTTCTCCTTGGGTTAATTTTTACGTTACCCACAACAATACCCAACTTCTGTGCTTGCTTTTTTCTCATCCAGATTTAGTTTTCGTTTCAGTGCCAATGAGTCCCATTATGTTTCGATCGTTATTTTTTCTCTTTCTTTCTTTCTCTTCTAGATAACGCAGCTAAGGGTATAAACTCCGGCACACAGACACTGGCCTTCCAAATTTGGAGATTAAGACAATGGACCAATTCTCTAATACTTGTAAAAAAAGAGTTAAAAGATCCAATAATAAGTCCCGAAATTGCTTGTCACTTAATGTTGTTTATTTCTGAAAAGCAATTATATATAAATATTACAAAAATGCAGGTAAACATTTAGACATAGTGAGAATTTATTTCTTTTTTTTTTTTTTTAAGTACATCTAAATAAAATCACAGACAAAAGAATCACGATAGGTACAAGTTTCACATGATATGCTTTGACAGGGCAAAGATAGAGAGGAGATTCAAGCTGGATACACCGAAAAATAACAAGAAAATCTTTAATCAGATACAGTAATCGCCAAATTTTTGGTCTTATAATTATCAAACTTATCCATAGTTTTAATATCCATAATAGCAAACAGAGCTATGACCATACCAATTCCTAATATAAAAGTGATAAATATTCCTGACCATATAGGTACTGTAATAAATGGCACGCAGTCATTTGCATCACCAAATTTCCCATTCCTTGAATCAATTTGGACTTGCAAATCATATATGTACAATTCCGTTCCATTAGCTTGGAACAATGTTAGACCATTGCAATGATATGAAAATGATTCTGCTGCGTATATGTCTTCTAAAGTATATAGGGTATAGTCAGGACTTTGTGTCTCTTCTATTTTGACTGAATACATATACCAGTAACCATTTTTCCAATTAAAATTGAATCTTAAGGTAAATTTTCCTTTGCCCTCTACGGGTACAATAATATTTAGACGGGGATTGGGATGAGTATTGTATGTTATCATATCTTCGGCCGTGTTTCCCAAATATATATCACCTTCAGACTCATTTTTTCTAAGTAACAAGGCCTTTGAGGAATATAATAAAGCAAATACTTTTAAGTCGTCTTTAGTGCTTTTTTGTGCCCTATAAATAACTGGTCCAATTGGAGGAGCATCTTTCTCAGACTGTTCCAGTTCATATCCTTCGGTTTCAGTTTGTGCTTGACGTTTTGAGCGTTTTACTTGCCGGTTTGGGATTATAACAACAGATATAAAATTTCTTGAATCTGCTATTGTGCTCTGGATTGTTTTAATATCTTGTTCAGAGTGGCCAGTGAGATCTAAAATATAAATAAAAACTTATTAATTATTGATTAAAAATATACAATACTATACAGTATACAGTGCTAGCCAAAAATCCCCTCTCCAGTATCTTTTGAAGGTTTATACTTATAATAGTGAGGAGGTAGAAAATAAAGGAATGTAGCCTTCTTAACTAGTCATAACATGTGAGGTAATAGTGATAGATGACGTTACAGCGCCACTGTGATAGATAATTTTAAATACGACCTTATGGCAAGTGATATCTCTTTTGAAAAGTATTGAAAATACTTATTCAGTTATACCAATTCTGTTTGAGTTTAAGCTAATTTTGAATGATATATAAATTAAATAAACACTAAAATTGTAGCTTTGCATTTAATTAATAAAAATTTAAAGAACAAGTTCTTATATTCAAAAGTTCAAATTGTGCTCCATCTACTTCCTGATAGCAATGCATCGCATTGCTAAACTCGTTTCGTACTCATTCAAATGTGTCGAAGGAAATTGCCCTACATTCTTCAAAAACTCGTTGTTTCAAAATGTCAATACTGGCGGGTGCAGTAGGGTAAAGTTAAGATTTCAAGTACCCTTACAAAAAAAAAAACTAATGACGTGAGGTCCGCTGACTGAGCTGACCATCCTATCGAACCTCGCAGGCCAATGCATCTACCACGATATTCCTCACCTAGTTAACGTCTTACTGCATAGCAATAGTGTACAGGAGCACCATCTTGTTACAACGTTATTTTTAAGTTACCAAATTCATCCGGATTATGTTCAAGAATTTTAGGAATTAACATTAATTGTGTTAATGAGGTTTCCCAAAATACCTGCACAAACATTGTGGATCGATAATCGCGAAATTAAAAAAAAATTACAAATTAATTTGGAATATCCACCAAAAGTTACCTTTAGTAACGACAATAAACAAGTATTATTACGACTTTTTGATAAAATTACATCTTCTGCCCTCTATCGGCCTTTGAAAAACGAAAAAAAAATGTTAGAGTAATCATCACAAAATTAAAAAAAAATTGACAAACTGAATTGAACTACCCACCAAAAGTTACCTTTAGTAACGGTAAAAATAAAATATTATTATGACTTTTGGATAAAATTACATCCTCTGTCCTCTGCAGGCGAAAAAAAAAATTTTTGGCGTTATTAACAGAAGCCTGATCCTAGCGGACTTGGTTTATTTACTCTAGTCCCATCTGCGGGGCTGCTGCGACTTTCAGTAATGTTTGTAAGTCCGCACGTCGAGAAATCTAAAAACTGTAAAAACTGATACACAAATAGATCATGAATTGTCTTCCACTTTGCATGCCAATATCAATACAGAAATGCAGTGTACACAAAATTATTTCAAACTTCCTACCTCGGCCAAATACTGTGACTACTATGGACTATCGGACAGATCTGCAGCAGCTGTGACGACGGCATTGCTACACGACCTTAGAATTGTTACCAACGCCAACACGAAAAACGTAATAGACAGAAATAAACTTAGACGAGCAAGAGACCAATCAAGAAGAGGTTTTATGCAAAACTCACCCAAAACTTTGAAGACGTGATTTTAGATGCAAAGACGGGAAGGTTTGTGTTACTCCAATACCTCACATGATGTGTGTTAACATTTCCATTGGCAGGAAAAAAGTACATTCTCCACTAAAACAAATTGTTTTATGTAATCTGGCGGTTAATTTGATTGGACATATTTTCACAGAATTCTAGTTTTCGGTTGGGGTCATCATCTGAAAGTTGGTGCACAATTTTTAATTTGTATGGATGAAATTTGTTGTTAGCCAATACTCAGTGTACTGTACTTTGACTAAATCTACAGACGCAACTTGGGCCGTAGAAGAAGTAGAATTCTCTACCATTTCTGCAATTATGTAAATTTTTTTTGTCATGACTAATTGTTGGTCGACCAGATAGTTTGGTATCTTGAACACTATCTGTTTCTTCAAACTTCCGAAGAAGCTCCCTCAATTAAGTCCTCGATATAGGACGATCGGGGTACATCTTAATAAAAAGACGTTCCGCTGCATAGAAATTCGTTCTACATTCACCAATTATTAAGACAGCTGCTACTTTATCGGCTACAGTACGTACCATTTTACTTAGGTAAACATTTAAACGTCTCGTTAAACAATAATTTAACTAAATATTTAGATATAAATACCTTTTCAAAAACCTTAGTAAAGTAAAAACAACTAGAGAATTGAAAAACGTTAACTTTTTTGACAAAAAACCAGAGGCGGATATTAGAAGCTTTATTAATTACATGCAAAACTATAATTTTAGTATCTTTTTAATTAATTCATTTAAATCATCTTTAACCCAAACAAAATTAGTATGATTGAATAGGTATGTTCAATACGAGATATCACTGCCTTGAAAGCTCTTTCCTTGAGCTTTCAAGGTTTTCAAGGATTTCTCAAGCAACGAGCTTGAGAAATTTGTCATGAAATTATGAGGCATTCATCAATGTCCGAGGGATATTCGGCGGATAATTTTTTGAAAAAAAAAAAAAAAATCATAACTCAACATAACGAACCATTTATTTATTAAAAGTAGAGTTAGTGAAAGTACAATTATTAAAATTTAAGTTAACATTAGATTCGTTGCTGTTCTCTACTATAGAAGATCTATCATAAAAACATTAATAACAACTGATACTTAGTTTTGCATCCTCTAATTCCCACAATACTTGCTGAATTTGAACCCATTCTTGCTGCGTTTCGTTCTCCTATAGGTACATCGCTTTAGGATGTCCCTTATATGATCTATGGATCATGACTCATAGGTGGCCAATCCATAGTCTTAATACCAACAGCCTCAATATACTGGATTACTGTTCTTATGACATGTACACGAGCATGATCATGCATTAATTAATTAAAACATGCTCTACAAGGATGTTAGTTATAGGTATGCCAATCAGTTTTCATTCTTAGATCCATTCCAACAAGCTTTGTGCGACTATCCCAACTATCCCATCCCATAGCATGATGGAACCGACACCAGAACTAACTTTTTGGTAGAGTACATTCTGCGAAATGTTCTCCAGAGGGTCTGTATATTCAAACACGTCCATTTGTATACCACAATTGTTTTATTGTTTCATACGTGAACAAAACATTTTCCCATTGCTGCCAATTTAAGTTAACATGGAGTTAAAATAGACGGTAATTGCATTCAGTATTTGGCCAAACCATGTAAAATAGATTCAAGCTATCATATAATTTCTAAAGTTTGAGAATAATACAGAAGCAGGGATATCATACGATCATGCGAATAAGCTGAATTTTGCTGAGAATGACAATTTTGGGACCCCAAAAAAGTTTAACACTTTTACCCCAAGGCTTTTCCCAAAAGCCCCCCTCGCAAGTGGGGAAAAACCGAAAAAATCGATTTACCAAAAATCTGTACTCCGTAGAAAAAAAAATGTTTTTAATAACAAATGTAGCTAAGATAATTTTGAACAAAAATGTTTATTAGCATTTTTTGTGTAGAATGAATTTCAGAAACAACGCTTTAAGCTACCGGTGATTTTCAATGTCAGGTACGCGCGCTCAATCAATTTTAAATAAAATTTGTATCATATTGACGGGAAAATTAGATATCTTTTGATAAGATTGTCCTATCGACAAAAGTCAAAATGCGTTTTAGATGTGGAAAGTGCAGCTTTATTATAATTTTTTTATATTGCTGCAAATAAAGTCAGTTTCCAGAAAGGTGTTAAATAAATAAACGTTTTGTACAATAATATTTATCACTTTCATTGACTGGTGACTATGGCATTTTCATTATTAGAGCCCAGTCTTCAAAACACATAGCCAGAAATTTGGATTTTTATTTTGGCAACAAAAGTGAGGATTTGAAATATGTCCAAAAAACGCTGAATTTGAACATTCGCATCAAGAACGATCGTACGTTACGGAAATACTTCTACGAAAAGAAGAAGCAGTTTTAAACGTTGTTTTAAATCATTTATAATGTGAAAGTTTAAATGTACCGTTTTTTTAGGCATATTGCAAGCCTCACATTTGTTGCTAAAACTCAAAACCGAAATTTGAGACTATAAATGAGGCTTAGAATGCCAGAGGCGGCGTAGGACGTGGGCGACGTGGCCCACAGTCCACGGCCTCGCTCACAAGAAATCCTCGCTGCAATGCACGTCACCGCTGGGCCCTAAGAGATATAGGGATGCTGGGAGAGAATCTGGATAACAACACGAAAAAGTAAAGCTGAAAGAGTAATATCAAAATAGGCTTTAAGTACAGGTAAAATAAAGTTTCTTAATTCAACTGCATCTGGTAGTACAGAACCATCTGAATCGATAGTGTCGACTTATAAAAAACATTCAGTCACGATTGAGATTTCTATGAATTTGGAAAGTACTGATAGAGAACTACTAAATACTGATACCGAACGACAGTCTGAAATTGATACAAAATCAATATCTAAGGAATCAGATTCCGACAATGAAATTCCTGTGTTTCCCGAGAGCAATATTCTAGATCACGAAAAAAATAAATAGAATGTGTTATCCACCAACTAGCAGAGTTGCGAGTTACGAAATTATACAAATATTTGATAATTTTAATCCAGGTATATGGTCGATGCCCATATTAGATGTTTAGCGTCATGATATAGTTCAGAACGGCCCCTCACAGAAATTAAATATTGGTGATGAAGATTATCTCAAAGACGATGACCGTAGGCACTAATTTTCATTTCTCTAGAAAATTTAACAATGGGGAAATTCAACATCGTCGCTGGTCAGTTTATTCTAATTCTCAAAATGAAGTACTCTGTTTTCTATGCAGACATTTTGGCAATTCACAAACTCAGATAGTACAAAGAGGATGCTGTGACTGGAAACATTTAAGCAGTATTTTACAAAGACATGAGAATACCAAAGAACATATGGTATTTATATTCCAATGCATAACATTAGAGAGAGGTATAAAACACGAAAAACCCATAGAGAAAGAAAGCGAAAGGCTAATTTGCGAACCTCAAAAACATGAGTACAATTTTTTTATGTGATTAATCGATATTATAACCTTCTTAGCCTCTCATAATCTCGCATTTAAAGGTCACAGAGAAGCTATAAAGACAGACGGTCACTTTAGGAATAGTGAGAACTTAATTGATTTATTCAAATTGATATCAAAATTAGATCCTACTTTACGAGAACATATGAGACGTATTACTAACAAACAACTTAGGCATCATTCTTTAAGTCACGACATATAAAATAAAATGAATTGACCACACTGATGTCAAAAACCGTAACTGGTGAAAGAAACAAAAAGATATAATTTTAGAACATGAGACTCATCAAGAAGCAGTGAAATTATTAAAAGAGCTATGCTGGAAAGGGAAAATCTCGTGGTTTGTTGGTACAATCTTCAAGCTGTCATGATTCCACTTCAAGGTAAAGTTGTAAAATTATGTTATAAATCTCGATTGAATGTTCTAAATTTTGCCATATTTGACTTATTTCAAAAACAAGGCTATTATGTTATTTATGCCACGAGTGACTTGCAAAAAGAGGCACTAATGAAATCGCTACTTGTGTCTTATTATGTCTTCTTTATATTCTCTATGTCTCTGGTTTGTGTGAAAAACTTAGCTATAGACAGTATCACTTATAAATATTTAGTCACTGGACAGCAAATGAAGGTGATTGTATGCATACATGCATGAAAAAAGAGAAAAAAATAGTATTTAGAAGTGACCCACTCTATGTTCCTTCGAAATTGGCGACTATTATCAAATGTTCAAAGAATATAGGAAAGTCATACACTGTGTTAAAAATGCATTCTACACACTTTATTTATTGGAAAGGCGTTGACGAAAAATCAGTAAAAATTATATCTTATATCTAGACAGTTATAATGATAAAGTTAAATGGAATGAAGTGAAGGTTCGTAAGGTGTGTAAGACAGATAAAGACACTCATTTTTACGAAACCTCACATGATGAAAACGATGATTTAAAAAAATATGCATCAGGTATAAAATGGGATAAAGAAAATTGGGTCCCAACTTAGAACCATCTTATAAAGAACCAACAGAAATTACTCCGAAGAAGAAAACTTATTTGATGCAGCTGTGCGATGAAGGGCAAATACCTACTGTTCATGTTGAGTTTTTTACAATCTAAAGAATCCTCGGTTGAAGAAAATTAGCTACATAAGTAATTTCTGAAAAGTTTGATAATACATATTTATTTTGTTCACTTTTGATCGCTAACGAAATGTTAATTTTCGTTTTATTCTATTTTTTACAATTCAGAACTTTTTTTAATAAAATCGGTTATGTCGGTCGTAAATATACTTGTTTCTTTTCTTTCCGAAAATTTAATGTAATCGCAAATTTTCCATGCTAAACCGAACCTTTAAGTAAGATTATTCATCAGATATTTTTAAAATTCTTTCTAAATTTGTTGTTTAACAGTGAGATATCGATTTTTATTGTCATATATTTCCAGCAGCATTTCTGTGCAACAGTGAGATGGTGATGTTTTATAAAATTTTGGTATAATTTTTCACAAAAGTACTGTTAACTAATCTAGTAAGTACTCAGTTTACAAGTTATATTTAAAATATAAATGCAGTTCTCTGTACAAAAAAAGTTATGAATAATTATTCCTTTGGCAAAATATATTTTGCGCGTTTTCTCAGTTCATCGGCAATTACGATATTCCACTATTACTTTCACGTATCGATATTAAACCTTTTAATTTTAGAAAAATATCAATTTTCTTATCGTTTCAATGCTTGTAGCAGATGTATAGCCAAGAACATCAGACATGTAATACAACATTTATTTAGACCCTATCCTTAAAACGGAAAATAAAACTGTAGTGATGCAACTGCAAAATAGTACAAAAAGTATTTACGCAAAGAAACAAGATATGTGTGTCCAAAATCTCCACATTTTGTGTTTATCCATGTAAGTACTGGCATCAATAGTGATAGTGATAAATTTTATATGTACATCTTAGAATAATAACTAACAAAACGATAAGAAAATATACCTGATTTGGGCACTGATGAGGTTTACAAATTTATAGCCAGGAGCGAACATGTTGAATAAAAAAAACTTAAATATTTTATAAAAATTAGAAACTATATTTACCAATTATATTTTCTACTTCTATCACTCCGTTGGGATTATAAATTGAGTAATATCCTTTTAAAAGAGGTTTTATTGTTTTTGATAGAGCACTAGGGCTTTTGAAAACAAATACGTCTGGACTTTTAAATCTTTCTATAATTTCTACGAAATTGTTTGTAGAGAACTCTTCTAATGGTGATATGTTCAATTCGTGATTGCTCCAAAGAAACACTGCACCATTTGTACAGTATATATTAAAAATAAATATAATTACAGCTTTAAATAACATTTTTGGTAAATTAGTCACAGAACAGAAGAAACTTAAAATCAATATTTCCCCCATTTAGCTTGAACTGACGTTTGTGATCTGTGGACGTTTCCGGCGAGTTCCGAATGTTTTGTTTTCACGTGATAGGAACAGCTAAACTATTTTCGACGTTCAAGATATAATTTTTTCGAATGATGCAAAAACTCTACATAAATTATATAGGTATATAAAAAATATGAAGATTAGTGGTTTTGTACTATCATCATCAAGCAAAAAGACAATTTGTCTTTTTGCTTGATGATTATCATACAGATAGGACTTTTCATCAAACAATATTGTCAGCAATTTTTTTCGAACAGATATTTTGTAAACAAACTGGTTAGGTTAATAATAAAATGATATACAAATTAATATAGGAAATATCAAAGAAAGTCTAGTTATTGAAACAAATAAAGTGCCACAATTAGCAAAACAAAATTTTTTAAATCGATTATTACTATGATACCTATACGAAAATGAACAATAAAGCGGTGTTGTTATGGAATATGTGATATACTCTGGATTTCTGGAATACCTATGTGATTCTTTATTAGATAAAAAATATTTAAAAATTAGTAGGTAGAAAGAAATTCGAAGATTTATTTCTTACTTGGCAAAACTAAATTCAAATATTTGTCTACTTCGCTTTTTATACTATATAAAGCAGACATATTGATGAATTATTTATCGGCAAGGGGAGTATATAATCTGCATTTCACGATCTGCCGTCTACCATTACAAATATCCTTCGTGAATTTTATTATGAACCCTTATTTCTAATACCACAGAATAATCTAGTACTCCGAAAATGAGTAAATCAACAAAGCGAAAAGACTATTGGATTTGATTTCAATACAGGGCGCCCACCATCCGCTTATACGAAAAAAATATTTATTTAATAAATATTTCTTTATAAATTTATAAACCAGCACTTATGGCGAATAATATTCTAACTCCATGCGAATGTTCATTGTCATTAATGTTCATATTGTCAAATCTGTCTGTACGAAAAACATGGCGACTAATGAAAAGTCCTCTTAAAGAATTTCACACTTTCATAGCAAAATAAACGTGTTCTGTGAGTGTTTTCATAGACACTACATTTATAATCCTTTTTTGACAGTGACTGACATCTGACTCTGACCTGACATGTTCGTTGTTGTTTTTGAATCCACGTGCTAGGTTTATTATCAAAGAAAATGGGTAAATTTAGAAGTAAATTAAAAGGACAAACTAAAGGGAAAAGATGGCCAAAAGGACAGAGTTCCAGTTCCAATCCCGAAACCAAAAAACACCGAGATTTAGCAAAATCTCGCTTTTTTCAAGAAAATTTAGGTTAGTTCATAATCATAATACAAGTTATATCAGCATGTAGTAATTTTGTATTTGATTTCATGTAGGTCCCAGTAGTTTAACGTCAGATGCTCTAAAGAAACACGATGCCGTGCAGTCATATATTCCTAAAGCTCCTGAATCCATTAACATGGAGGAAGATACGGAATCTTCTGTTGGAACACAATCATCTTTTGCTACAATGAAATCTTTTGCTTCAGAATGGTCAGATTGTAGTAACATGTCATTTAATAGATTTTTGACCGTATTTAGATCAGATTCTGCTTTACACAAAGAAATGTTAGCAATATTAGCAGCCATAACAGAAGTCATAAAAGAGAATGGAGGATCTGAAACACCTACTGAGTACTTTTGTTCCCTGGTATGTATGTATAAAATAGCGTTAATATAAATATGTTAATAAATAATTTAGCATTACAAATGCTTGCATCTTCTCAGTTCTCTCTTGCATTCTATTTTGCCTTCGATAATCAACTTCAAAAGCTTTGCTCTACTGCTTCTTAAAACACTGGCTAAGTATAAAGTTTTACTCTTTTTTATGTTACAAATAAACTATTTGTCTTTATTGAACCTTTGAAGAACTGTCTCATTGCCTACATTGCATTATTTTTAAGAATCTTCTACAGTTTCACATTTCAAAGTGCCTAAAAGTATTTAATTTGACTATCCAGGTTTCGTAGCCATTTCTCAGCATCCATACTTTCACAATGACCAATAAAAAATATATTCATAAAATAATTTTTCGAAACAAAATTCAAAATGTATTGCTCTTTATAATATGTACCTTGAGAATAATAAATTGTTGTTAGGTTGAGTTTACCGAAAGTACAAGCTGATGATAGCCGCAAATATCAAACATGGAACAAAAAATTTCGGTATAGCAGTGTTGGCATGTTTTTACAATGTTAATGCTGTATGCTTCAAATATAAAAGTATAAAGCTGTACATTTTGTTTAGTTATACAATATGCAATTTTTGGTTTATATAAAACAACAATGAGTAAATATTTGTTTCTTTGGAGATTAATTGCAGTTAATTATTAAAATTTTTTTTAGCAATTACCCTTTGGTAGATTAGGGGATAGATTTGGCAATTGTCAAATCAGCAGTTGGCATACTACAACAGATGTTTGCAATTAATCTTGAAAGAGACAAATATCTACTTGTTACTGCTTCATAATATAAATTAAAAATTGCAGAGTTCACAAAATAGTATAATCAAAATGTACTTTTTAAAAACTTTATCTCTTTATATTTGAAGCATACAATATATGCATTATAAAAACATGCCAACACTGCCAAGCCGAAATATTTTTGACATTTGCATCTATATTCAGCTTGTACTTACGGTAAACTCAACCTGTTGTTATGTTTTCATTAATTTGTATTGTCAAATGAAATTTGTTTTGAATATTTTACAGTCACTTCAAGAAAATATTATGTATATAATATATAACTGTAAACTTATATTACGATATTATTTTTACTGTTATATAGAATGTATGTATTATTCTTACTGCATTACCATAATATAATAATATCTGTTATTTCTTTAAATGAAGATGACAACATTAGAACAAGTGTATAATGCAGAAAATAAGAATGAAGACCAAGTAACAGCAGTATTAGCCTTGTTAAATATGGGTATAAAAACAGTTCCAGAAGCTGTTTTAAAGAAACAGTTCAATGATATAACATTAAAAATTTTGCATATATTAAGTGATTATGCAGATTCAGAAAATAATACAATAATGAAATCAATATTTGGCATTTTGGGATCTTTGCTAAAAATACAAGAGTTGGCAGTTTGGAACCAGCCAAGCACAATACAAATCTTCAATGCCTTACTGAATCCATTTTGTATTCACACTAAGCCTAAGGTAAGACTACTATTAATTAAGTTTTAACAGTATTCAATTGTTTATTATCCTGATAATTATTACCAAAAAAATATTTTAAATAAAAAACTGTTACACACTATTGAATATTTAACATGTTGTCTGCCATAGACGATTTTGTAATACTTTCCTTTCACGCCATAGTAACCAACCCAACACCACAGTTACATTAAAATTCTCTGTCAATAGACCTCACTGGTGTGCAGGGCAATTTTTTTTTCGGTCACATAGACTGAGACGGCAGGCAATGTGTTAAATATCCATATTAATTTATATTAAGTCAGATTTATGTTCATTTTATTAACAAGTTGTTTATTACTTTCAGATAATAATTTTTAAATATTTTTGTTTTTTTTTTTATACTGAATTCACATTACTTGTGTCTAGTTTCTGTATTGGTTAAATATCTGTATTTTTTTAGTGGAGAAAAGCGGCACAACATGCTGTTACATCCATAATAACAACAGGAAATTTTGTTAAAGATAGTTCCTCTAACCCGGCTGCTGATAGAGCAGCAGAATTTTGTGAACAAACTTTAGACTCTTGTATGGGAAGCACATCTGGTGTAGTCCTCGTATCTTCAGTCCAAGCTGGTCAGACTACAATCCTCCACATCCTTGGTTTGATGAAGGATATTATAAGTAAATTTTCCAAACATCATATTAAGGTAAAGATGATACTATAGTACTATGTCTAGTATATACACATTTTTTGTCTTATATGCCTACATTTAACTAAATGAGCAACCAGAAATCCCCAATTTGCACAAAAGTATATTAAGTAAAATCTACTGTTTAAGCCACAAATTTTATTCTATGAGAGCTTCTTCAAACAATCTATTTTGTTAGGTAAATCAAATTCAATGAAGACTCAAAAGAATGGACATATTTTTTAAATAAATCTTATAATATAATTAATGATAAAACTGCTCATCTCTTGCACAGTTTACAACCTTAGCAATATTTATTGAAATATTTTAAATTCAAGAATATTTATATATAAAAAAAGGCAGCAGCAGAATGTTTCCAATATGTTCAGAGACATACAAGCACATTAGAATGTAATATGAGGATAAAATTAACTGTTTTAAGGACATGGCAAACTATCAGAAATGGTGCTGTTTTAATCATTAACAGATGTGACCCAGCAATGATTAGTATTTACATTAGATTATAGTATTCTTTTTTAATCTGGAGCTCTATGAGTTCTACACTGGTCTTATTGCAGCCAGTTACCTTATTGTACATCTTCCATTTATTAATGAAACCCATTTGAGAAGTATGGAACCCTGGAGCATACATAATTCGTCAGGACTTCACAGACCTGCTATATATATGCTCTCTGTCAACACCCAATAAACATTTTTGACTGCTTCAGACAAGTCACTCATTTCTGAGTCATCTGAGCCATCTCTTTTTGTCTCGTATTTGTTGCCTAAGTAATGCTTTTTTAGAGCATTACTTAGGCAACAATTTTCACTTTACTAAAGAACAATAAACCATTCTTGTGGCTGTAAAGAAAAACTAGAATTTCTAGTAATAAAGCCCAGCATTTTTGACCCCCTAATTGATATAGAATTAATATGATCAACAAAAGTTAATTTTTCATCAAAAATTACATCCAGATCTGTTACTGTCGAAACATATTTTAGTGGCATATTATCAATAAAGTAGCTTTACCCAAACCTAGTAGTTTCCTAGAGAAACTTATAAAATTACATTTGTTGATATTCAAATTTAGCTTATTTTTTGGTACCATTCTGACAAACAATTTAAGTCACCTTAAAGCAGTTCCTGACCTGAAATACTTCAACCGTTCTCCAAAATTTGAGATCATCAGCAAATTGTGAACAGCTGCTACATAGCAGCATATGTTTCAAAACTATATCATTCATAACATCATATATCATGTAACTATATCATTCACGAAAATATCAAATAGGAGAGGAGAACTATATGGAACCTGTGGAACTCCAGATGTAACCACGATTTCCTCAGAAAAATAACAATCTACCTTAACTCTTTTAGTACGACCAGTGAAAGAGCTTTTCGGCCGAGAAATAAAGTTTGGGTCAAACTCATTCAAAATCAACTTAGTATACCATATTTTCTTATCAATACAAACACCTTAGAGGAATCTGTCTAAAATTGAATCAGTCTGCTTCCTCTGTGTAAATTGAATCAATCTGCTTCCTGCTTTCAATGTTGTTTAGAATATCACATTGATAGGTTAATAGATTAGTCAAAGTTGATTTGTTTTTGAAGAAGCCAGGTTGCTCCTGACTTATAAGACCTGTACAAATCCAAGAAATCTGCTTGCTAACTAAACAATCAAATAATTTTGGTATTGTAGATTGGATACAGATGCTGCGATAGTTTTCAATGTTATTTTTTGTCCGGTTTTAAAAATTTGAACAACCAAGCTTTCGTTTCAATTGTTAACAAATATTGAAGGTGACAAAGACTTGATAAATAGTAGATACAGTGGCAATACCGTTGTGCACACAAATGTTTTTAGCAACATGTTAGGAATACCATCAGTACCATTTGTAAGCTTATTTGGAAGAACTGCAATTTCCTTATTACTAGCTTTGAAATTTCTGCGCACTTAATGTTATTACTATATTTATAACTTTATTTTAATGAGGGTGTTCAAGAGAGTTTTGATTGTCAATATAGACAGATTGAAAAAATACCTTACACACATTTACCATCTCTTGGCAGTCCATAGCAGTTGGGTTGCCCTAAAACATTGAGCTGGGAAACCTATGGTTGGATCATTTATCATTTATATACTTCCAAAATAACTTAACATAGTTAGAAAACAGACATCTGAAAGTCTATTACATTCTAAAGGCAACTGAGAAAATTGTAAATAATTGTCAATAGATAACTCTGCCTTATTATATGTCACTTACTTTATACTACTCATTTTGTGTAAACACACCAAATTAAACTGATGTTACTACATAAGATATTTATGCATAATACTTCTTTCAGACTTGCTGTGAAACTATTCTAAAATTAATGACCCTCAATTATCCCATTGTAACATCATGTGGTATGCAGGTCCTTTACGCATTGTTTTCAGCACAGACTGCCGTAGTACCTGGAAAACTTAATGCTCAATTGATCACTGCTCTTTATGAATATCAGCCATCCCTTTCAGATGTACAACCTACTCAGGCTTGGGTTACAGTTATGCAGCAAGCTCATGTCCATCTTGCTGAGTAAGTATTTGTTTTATTTAACATTGAAATGCTAAATCTTTGATGGTAGTTATCATCAACCTTTTTGTTATGTATTTTAATAAACACCATGTATAGTAATCGCAGATTTACAATCAGAGTTTATAGCTCATGTTTCGAAAGAAATAATTCCAGAGCTTGGCCTATAAATCTAGAACACAATGTACAATTTCAAAAAACTGTCCACGAAATCCTCCACTGCTAAATATTCTTACATATTATAAAAATATATTTTAAATTTGCATATTTATAGCCTCAAACTAATATTTATTTAAATTGTATAATCGATTAATTTGTGTAATTATTTTTTTTTTAGTGTCGATGTTGCTCTAGCAATGGCGACCTTGCCTAAAATAATTGACAGCTTGACTCAAATGTGGCTCTCGGAAAAAGCTGAAATAATGACATCTGCAACTCATGCTTTAGAAATATTACTAAAAGATGCTCTCGTTACTGGATGTAGCTCCAAAGAGTTAGTAGGGCAACACAGATCCAAAGTCGAAAGGTGTATTCAGACAATTCAGCTATGTTTGGGATACCAATATAACGCTTCTTGGCATCAAGTGTTACACATTGTTAGTGTGTTATTTGAGGTAAGTAAATTCAGGGGACTTTATTAAAGAAACTGCAGTGGTACAAGAATTAATAGCATTTGAAAGAAATAAATTAAATGAAAAGGAAATGTAGAACAGTTCTAAGAAAAACGTGAGACATTTAGTTTAAATGAGAGCCTGTGAGAATGAGATTCATATATTGAATACTAGTGGACCGACTTATTTCTAATTTTATTTTAGATCATAGTTATAATCACATTAGCTTAGAAATCTTTGTTTATTGTTTAGTATTTTTTATATTCTTTTTTTAGTATTATCACTCTCGTTTATAAGAGACTTGTTTTCTAATCTTCTGATCGGGATTTTCGTGATGGATTTTGGAAACAGATTCACAAAAAATATTTATGTTTTAGATGTGTGTTTCTGTCTGGCATAAAATTCTTCTGACTTTTTTAGTGCTAAGACATACATAATATGGGATTTTAGGGGAAGTACGTGTAGAGTTATACTAAAGACGCGTTCTCATGAGTCAAGTTTAATTGATCGCCAAAAGTTTAATGAACATTGTAATGAGAACCTTTATTTCAATATAGTTGTTACAATTTTGCAGTTGATAATAAAAAGTTTGATCCAGTCCTTTCTCTCTAAGTGATCAGCCATCAAGAACTGCTTTTAAGTTAAAACTTTTCTTAAAATGTGTGAATAGTAGTGGTACTCAATGTTGACGACTGCATAGTATACTTCTATCTAGTACGTGCTGTTGGCGGCTGTTTAGGTAATGAGTGTATAAATGCTTTCTCCATTTCTCCAGAAGTACCATTTTTCACTTCTGCTCGATCGCGGATGAAAAAATAATATGCAGCCTTTTGTAGTAGTGTGGAAAAATAATTTTATCAAAATAAGACATCAGAATAATATATTCAAATAAATAACAAAAATAAAATTTATTTCTATGCAATATGTACAATAAAAATAACGATGAATCCTTATAAATAAAATCGACAGGGCTGCGGTCCGATGCTGATACCGGTGAAAAATAAATATTAGTGAGTGAGACAGAGGACGATCTTTGGTCAATACCCAACAACCGGATAACAAGTGATCATTACACAGCCTAGGCTAGAGGTGGGACGGAACCGGTCGATCAATACTCGACACAGACGGTGAATGGAAGCAATCGACCAATACTCAATGGCCAGACATGCTAAAGGTGGGTGGCCTCTGATTAATACTCAGAGATACGTAGATAGGAGCTTTTACCAGGTCAATACTTCAGATTCCGGTTCTCAATCGTTGTTCACGGCATTTTATATTCTTGCCAGTGTTCCATCTCTAACGCATATCGATGGTAGTGGTAGCTGCTGGTAAGAGTGCGGGTACACAGGGGGTGAGCTGTTTTGATGATCGTTTTCATACTCACAATTTTAACTTTAAAACTAAAATTTGGACAGGTCTGCTTTCTGTTTGCCGACCACACAATTTTTCTTCAAATCGTTTCTGGTACAAGGTTTTGTCGGCTCGTTACATAAGTAGTCTAACATCTATTTTTGCGTGGCTGTTTTGTTCAATTTGGTTGTCATAGGCTTTATTCAGGTTTTTCTTGTTATAGTAACTTGTGATCTCTTTCTAGGTTCGCTGAATTTATTGTTTTGATCGGCTCATCACGCACTGTCAAATTAGCTAAACCGTTGACTTAAGAGCATCTTCAGGGGCATCTGAAATAAGCCAAGAAACGTGTTTTTTTTTTAATGAAGAAAATGATTAACTTCGATAAAAAGCTCTTGTGATTAACGTTTCAGACTTACAAAATCAAATTTTGGGCTATCCAACAACTGCAGAATGTCATAAACCTAAAATTAAACATACAATTGAACATAACACTACACTAAATAAGGACAAACAGTTTAAAATTATTTAAAAAATAGTGGAAGCTACATTTTGGTCGGCAACAGGAGAGATAATGTCTTCCGGTATTAACGGAAATGTAAAGGTGACATATGACAGCTTGGATGGTCAAACACAATCATGGAGATGTGATGTGCACATTTCAAAATTCTATGTAACTCAGCATTGACCAAAGGTCCAACTGACACTACTATAGTAAACCAACTGATGAAATATGACATATAGAATATTTTAACTAGATTGCATAATGCAGATCTCACACTTAAACCTGTCTATAATACTTAGGGTGTTACTTTGAGAGCAACTGAAGTGGACATAAAGTATGAATTCAAGAAATAGACTAAACAATCTATTAGACAGTGGGTGGTTGACTACAATAAAAGGGTCTAGCGGGCACTATCAATACTGTAGAACAGAAGAAATCTGAATATGAAATTAAAATACTAAAAATTAAAACCAATATTGAAAGCAGTGTATAAATGGGGTATAATTCAAGTAATTCAGTTAAACCCCCAGTCAATGCGAAAACTAAAATTAATATGTAAAAGCGTTACTCTATAAAACTATAGATCTATTGAAACTGAGCAAGCTAGTTTTGTAAATTGTTGAAGAATAAAATAGTAATGTTGATTAAAGTATGAAATTAATAAATTCTTAATGGGTATACTCAGTGCAGGAAGTCTAAACAGCCGAGCTGGGTCCACTACGAGGTGAAGCTGCAAAGTTTTGCATGTTTTAAATTGTAGAAGTAAAAAGTTTGGATATCTTGTTGGAAATGTTGCTAATAAAGTAAAGGAGAAATATCTGATGTTTGAAGTATTGGGTTGAAGAAAACATTGTGATGAATATGCAAGCTTTTCTGCAATTTTGAGTTTACCTCTATTTAGAAGCTTATGGATAATATTGGGATAATAACCATTATTGAAAGCAAATTGCTTGAGAGTATTAAGTTCTAAATTAAAGTTACAATTAGAAAGTGGAAATTTGAGTTACCTATGAATATAACTATTGAAAGCAGCCATTTTATATTGAGTTGGGTGATTAGTTGTTTCATGTATAGCATGATCTGTTTGGGTAGGTTTTCTGTAATTATTGTACTCTAGAGAATATTATATTATTTATTATATTATTACGAGATATAGTCATATCCAAGAAGTTCAACTTATTGTCGGATTCTGGTTCCAATGTAAAAGAGATGTTAGGATGGAAGTTATTAAAACCATCTAGAATATGTAAAGCATCATCTTGGGTCCCGTGTATGAAAGCTATACAATCATCAACATATCTTGACTAAAAAAACTATTTTGCTGTTGTTGTTAACAAATTTCTGTTCTAAGCTGTCTAAACAAATATCAGCTAGAAAAGGTAATAATGGAGATCCCATTGCTAAACCGGTTGGTTGTTTATATATTTTTTGATTAAATTGGAAGAAATCCTGATCAAGACAGAATTTAAGCATAGTTAAGATAGCATCTTTGTCTTTTGCTGGTATGTTGCAATTGTTTAGTAGTTTGTGTACTAAAGGTAATGTTTCATCTCTTGGCACAGAAGTAAACAAATTGGAAACATCAAAAGAAACTAAATAAAAACTTCTACTTTAATTTTATTTCAACGTTCTCTTAGATCTAAAATTTGTAATGGAGAACTTAGGTTTAAGTTCTCTATTAAAATGTTAAGTTATTGTTAAATTGGTATTGGTAAATTGTTATCGGGGTTTGTAGGCTGTGTTCCGGAATTGTTTGTTATTGGCGTTTGGCCTATATTTCTGATAGACTCTGATACAATGTACTTTTAATTTTAAAAATCTAAGCTAAGACACTTTTAACGATTCCTTGCACCTCAGTAATTCAAGCATATAGGTCTTTTAAAGGTTTCACATTCAAGAACCAAAAATTCCAAAAGCATTCTTAAACATGAAACAAACTCACAACTTTTTCTTTTTTAGACAGCACTTAAATAATATTCAAATTTTATTTTCTATATATTTTATAATAATAGCTCTCTCAGCAAAATTTCTAATGCTCGCATTGTATTTTTTCTTAAAATGGCCTATCTCAAAAATAATGTTTCTTACGACTTTTCGTAATATTACATAAACTTTTTACAATCTTTTTATTAACAAAACAACGAAAAATCTCTTTTGTATAATTTTCTTTATTTAAATTAATATATACGATGTTTTTATTGTAGGTTACGGGCCCGAACTGCAGTGATATGCTACTAGGACTACTTACCAACTTAGCAGAATTAAGGGATTCATACAAATTCAGTTACAACAACGAACTAGAACACGCTGTAGGGGCTGCCATCAGGTCTATGGGACCAGAAGTAGTTTTGGAAGTTATTACGTTGAAGGTATGTTTAGCACCATATCATTTGGTTTTCTTTAAACAGTAGTTTCAAATAAATTCAGTTCAAAAAGGAACTAACCCTTTGCTAAATGGGTTGCACTCATGTCGATTATTTTCATTGAAGAACCTTATGTTATACTATGTTTTCGTTATGTTGCCAGGCGCGAGGATGAACAAAGTTACAATTGACCATAAGACAAACAATTATTTTCTATATTTTTTATTAAATTTGTTTTTTTTTTTCAAATAACATATCGGTTAGTATCCGAAATGAATTAAATTTTCCTTTGAATGTCGTCGCGTGTAATATATTGTATATATAATTACTTTTTGTATGTATATAATTTTTTTCGACTGACCTTAGTGCAGGATTCATTCTTTGTAGTCCCGGCGATAGTTCCCGAGGTAGTTTAAAATGCCCTCTAGTTGCCGAGTCTACGCCGAACAACACTTCCTAAGCACTACCTTAATTCATTCACAGACTGTCAAGGAGGCCCAATGTCCCTTTTACCCTTTTTCTTTTTTTTTTGTCCCAACAATTGGGCTTTTCCCAACAATTGGCCTTTTTTGAGAGGAACTCCGTTGCAGATAGTGCGTGGAGAATCCTCATCGCTCCTGAACGGTCTTACTCCCAGCCAAGCATTTCTTTCTTCCCCACAGTATAACCCACTTATTAAAACAATTCCGTATAACTTTAACTTACAACATCTTTCCCATTTACCATTGGCGTTGTTCCAGCTGTCTTTCTACCTCTTCTTTCTTCTGGATCACTGCACGGATGTAGTTGTGTATACTAATCCAATCTGCTTTATTTTCAAACATTCTCACAACCATTTCTCTCGCTGTCACAAAATTTATAAAGATCTCTCTTTCCATTCTGCTCCCTTCTACTATCCATCTGCTGCACTTCAACATAGTATGTGTCACAGTATCCATGTTTTCGCAGTATAGGCATTCATCCATGTCAGTTTTTAGAAACCTAGAGAAGTAGGCCCGAAAACACCCGTGCCCTGTGAGCAGCTGCATTAGAAAATAATCCAGTCGTCTGTGACTACAGTTCACCCAATCTCTAAGTTCGACATCTTTGTTCACTTTGCCACATCCTCCGTATTTTTTAAATCTTCTTACCATCTTTCAATTGACCTTTCCCTTTCTTCTCTTCTCTTGGCCATAGTAAGGTCTAGGCGTCTTCTCTCATATAGCTATTTTCTTTCCACTGGAAACACATCAAGTGATGGCTGCCGCAGACACAGTCCTATAAGCGCATGTCACTCGCAGCAGACTTGTTCTGTCCACGCGTGTCATGAGCCTCCTGTACGCAGGTATCTCTACCGAAGTCTGGAAATACAATTTACAAATAGTCTGGGCAATTGACAATGCCAAGGACATAAAAAAACAATTTGCTTCAACGCGTCAACAAATCGACAGTTCATTACAATTAACATGTATTCTCAAAATTTCTGTTTAATGTTGAGTAATATGGTTGTTACATTAACCAGAATGCTTTGCAGAACGTATCGGGATACAGAAAATAACGCTAATAGAATTTAGTATATTTTTAATGAACACAAACCGCATTAATGCGGAAACCATCATGTAATGTTTAACACTATCATTGTAATCAGGAAACTATATTTCATCAAATAATTAAAAACAACAAACTAAATAGTTGTTCAGTTAATGTATAAATACCGCGAAGTATAATACAAACTCCTATTTTTATTTAAATTTGCTTAATTGTATCATATGAAAAAAATTCTGACAAAACAATAAGTAACTAATAATACCAATAATTATATATTTCAGAAACCTAACGGAGATCTCAATATAGACAGATCGTGGTTGCTTCCAGTTCTCAAAGAAAATATCAAATGCTCCACTTTGGAGTATTTCGTTAAAGGTATTTTACCTTTAGCTCTTTACTGTCACCGGAGATCTGCCCAGTTAGCTCAAAATAATGATGGAATAGGAGCGCACAGTTCAGAATTACTTTATTTACAATTATGGAATCTTCTACCATGTTTCTGTAGTCATCCAAAAGATATCAAGGACAGTTTTAAGGTGAGTATAGTGATGGTAGTATACTCTAGCATATTTAACTTAATATTCCACTTTATCACTACATTACAATGCGATTAATAGTCTTCATCAATTGATACCTCTATTTCTAACTCATTATAACATTAATTTGTTTCTACACACACATGTAAGTTCTGATTTGTTGCTTATATGTTAGACTAAAAATATAATTAAATTCAAGGGTTTTAATTAGAACTTATGATTATGGTATAGATAGGCAATCTTAATTGCTTCTAAATCTCGTTCTCTTCAAAATTCTGAGTTAAAACTTTTAGTACCATTCATTGTTTGTTTTTCCAGATTTTCTTCTTTTTGGAGCTCAGTGTTTTATAAAATAAATCGAATGTTTTTGTTAATTACCATAACTCAGTTATATTGCAATGGTCAGAAAGTAACTGCTTGATTGTTGCTACTTGAAAATTTGTTTCAATAAATCTAATAAGGGCTCATTCAATGAGACTAATCATGATGCTGCCTTATCCATTTGCTGTTATGGCTGCCCACAAAAGTTGACCGTCATACGTAGAAAGTTCAATAATCTTTGAAATTCCACAGAACACAATGGATTAAGTTTTGCTGTCTGTCTTATTTTATTTATTTTATCTTATATTTTGATCTATAATCTATTTCATCCCTTTTATATGTACTACAAAATTTGTTTTTCATCTGCTTTACTTTAATTTTATTCAGAGGTGTAGTTTATTTGTGTCAACGTTAAGTGCTGATGAACGTTACATGTTACATTGTGTCCTTTTATTTCTAAACTTACATGATTTTATTCTTCTAAAATATTTCGCTTATACCTCTTTGTATTATTGTCTAAGGTTTTTTGGTGGTTCTCTGTTTTAATTCTATTTTACTTTTGCCCTACGTGGGCGCACCTGGTTAAATACTGATTTTGTAAGTATTTTTTCTTTCTAATCGCCTATCTATGTTTATTTTCTTCGTTTGTTTTCTTGTACACGACATTTTTTATTTACTTTACTTTTAGTATTTTTAGTATCACTTAGAACCACCATTATTACACAATTAAGTATTGCGTAAATTGTATTTAAAAAAAAATGTGACATTTAGTAATGTTTTCGATCATTTCGCTTGGATCCTGATCAGGTTATATAAAATTATTAGATTATATAGTACACAATTGCACCTTAAAATATAAACATAATATCATCTTGTACTTAAATTATATATCTTATTTTGTAGACTGTTGCTAAAGTTATGGGTACCGCAATTTCTGATAAGAAAGAACTTCGTTTAGCAGTTATGGCTGCATTAAGAAGGTTAATTTCTTGTGCCAAAGAGTCAGAAAATCAGGAAGATCTACTGGAAATAAGTAGATTTGACAAAAACTATTTGCCAATATTGTTTAATGTTTATACTACCAAGCCCATTGGTACTGACGAAGAAGGTCAAAGATTGGCTGCATTGGATACAATAAAGGTGAGTATAATAGTATAATATTGCTGAATCTGTCAGACTCATATTTTAAAGCCAAAGGAATAATTTATTGTTTAAGAAAAGATATAAAATGGAACGTATTGCTTTTTTGACAAGTTTTTTAATGTGTTGGCATTTCTATCGTATCAAATACACAGTATTTTATATATGTAGATAGAAAATTAGTCAGTTAGCCGAATATAATAGTCGAATAGGTTTTTGGACAATGGTTCAGGCTCTGGTCGCTGTCAGAAAAACAAAAAAGCTAACGTAGAATTTTAAAATTCTAAATTAATCTATAATATATATATATATATATATATATATATATATATATATATATATATATATATATATATATATATATATATATATATATATATATATATATATAAGCAAATTTATTTTTTTATTTTTAGTTATATTTATCGATTGCAAGACCAGAATTAACTCAACAGCTCTTCAGTAACGCCATAGAACGATTAAATAGTAGTTCAGATGAACCAGAAGATCATTTTATAAAAGAATCGATCCTGGATTTAATTCGTGCTTTAGTACCATACCAAAATGCTCAGAATGTTGAAATTTTATATCAGCAGTGTATTAAAAACTTACCAGAAATAAAGAATAATAAAGAACAGAAAAAGGCTTACAGACTATTGGAGGAAGTATGTGGTAGTGAATCAGAAGGGTGCCAGACATTTGTTAAAAGTAATCGAAAGGAGGTAATTAGTTGAATTTTTATTGTTAACCTAATTTATATACACATATGAGATGTTCAGTGATAAATCTATTACATTAATGGTTTCTCATTTATAAAATGAGTTTAACTCTCTCGTACATAATTTTAAGGATTTTTTTTTCTTAAAAAAATAGTCCGTCCATTCTAGGGATCACTATGCACTTGCGAAATCGCGGAAGCGTTAGTTATTGGTATGAAAATGTTCAAAGCACGATGGACACAGCGGCTCGTTGCACCTTTTGCAGATGTATTTTGTTTTTCTTTTGCAAGCTTAAGGTGACATCCTCGAGCATTTGGTATATCAATTAGCTGTGGCCAATGCCATCAATTACTTTGTCTAATTTCAGGGGTGTATGATGATTCGGTTTCTTCTTCAAAATGGGAGTTGGTGTACCAGACAACGATCTACCTTGTTTATTTTGTTTCTGCGATCCCAAATTTATTAATGTTCTGACATTACTTGCTTTAAATTCAAGCATGTTTTTGGATTTCCGTTTTTCTTCATTTTCTTTTCATTTACAACAAGAACATCCACAAAATGCATAAAAACTCTTATGTACCAGCGTTTTTTTCTTCTTTTTATAGGATATAGGCCAAAAACTAGTCTATCAGGTCTACTCCTCCCACGTTTTTGTTATAAAACTGAATAGAAAATGGTCTGTTCACCTCTATAATAGTCTTAGTAGTTTTGTAGTCGATTAAATAGGAGAGTTCCTGTCGCCCATATACCTCTTTTATGCAGTTCTTGGATAAGGGGAAGTGAGCAAAATAAATTATCAAAAAATACTTTATGATTGATTCTCTCTAGGTTGTCAGTTAGACGCAAAACTACATCAGTAAGTACTACATGTAAAAACCTCAAAATAGATTCAAATCTATTAACAGGAATAGCATCAGCAATAATGCCTCAGGCCTTATTGCTGCTGCCCTAAGGCTAATATCCTCAGACCATTATCACTTGACCAGTAAAAAGCAGTATTCTGGGATATCTCATGTACGCCATCACTAAATTTATGCCCAAGAAAGCATATAACTCATATTTTGTAAAACCAAAATTTAATTTATAGTTTTGGCCAGCATATAAATTGCTACTACTCTTCTGAAAATTATATTCATAAAACATACCAAAATAGTGGAATTTTAAGTTACGTATTGCTGATGTCCACTCTAATGGACATGACTTCAAGGAGATATGTTCAGTGAGTATTTCAATTATTTTGAAATTACCACAGAGGCTATTTGTGTAAAATACATAACTCTGTAAGAAAAATATTTTCTTACCTTTTTTGCTTTTCCATAGAAACTTCGGGCATTTATTTCAGGCAATTCACAGGTGGCCATCGCGGTTAGGTGATTTATAGATACTAGTATAAACAAACTTTGATTTTCAACATAAATATTGTCTATATTTATTGAGTGGACTCAATGCATGAGAGGGTTTTAGTATACTATATTTATTATTGCGCATCGCCACTTTCGGGCACTTAGGTACTGAGGATCATTCTCGGCATTAACCATTTTCATGGCATTTCATTGAGTAATAGTGCTTACGGTTTATTGCGCTAAAAAAATTATTTACCTCCATTTAGACCATTTAGGAGTAAAAATTACCCCTATAAAGTTTTGAAATGAAAACAAGTAATGTGTGATACCCTATTTCAAATGGGTTTAATTATCTGCATCAAAATGCGATTTTTTGATTTTGTACTTAAATATTTATGTTTAAAACTACTTTTAATCAATTTTTATGTTTAAAACTAAGTCATCATACACTCGTAATTTCGATAAAAAACGATACTAATAGATTTTTTTATCGTCATAGGTGCAACGTCTACTTATGAAATCTCTCAACTCGGCTGCAGTCTCCAGTAAAGGCGCAAGATTACGCTGTCTTAACTACTTAATTAAGGCCCAACCTCAGTTGGATCACGAAAGTAAACTTATCAAATCTGCTATTCCCGAAGCCATACTTTGTTGTAAAGACATCAACGAGAAATGTAGGACTACAGCATATGATCTTCTAAACACGATAGGAAACTTATTATTGGAACACGACAAAATGCAACAATTTTTAGAGTTGATTATAGCCGGTTTAGCTGGCACACCACAACTTGTTAGTTGTACAGTCTTGGCACTGGCCTCAATTTTACATCATTTTTCAGGTAAGGAATTTTTCAGCTTTAATTTAATATTTAAGGCGGAATTGATCAAATATAAGTAACTAGCTGACCCGGTGAACTTCGTACCGTCTTAGAATTAAATAATGTGTCGATTCAATAACTAAGTTTACAGACAATAAAAAAAAATTACCATTAAAAAAATGACCCAAAAACATTATGTACGAATAAAGTATAATTAAATTAATGTTTTCTGATAACCTGTGTTTTTAGTATTTTTTGACGTACTACGTAAATATACAACGGTGACCGTTTTTGGACGCGCGAAATCCGTCATCGTTGAACACGAATGTAATGGTTGTTAGTTATTATAACAACTGTTTTAAAAAAAAATTATATTCAAAGTACAAAAAAGGACTGAATATTTAAATGACACAAAAATAATTTATAAACACTACAAACGCCGTCAAAAACCGACCATCCTATGACTGTCTTTTTTCGGTGTATGCTGTTACGTATGGACAGGCGACATAAGTTCATCAATTTAGTTTTTGTGAGTAGAAAACAGATGTAATAGGTTTGTTCCAGCAGACATTTTCAGAACTAATTCTGAACCGATACTGAACTATTGAGTGCGCATGTCAATGCTGAGTTAATTTAGAACTGGTTCATGTTTTGGCACTTGCTGGAACGCATTTTAATTAAATTAAAATTGGCATTTGATAGGTGACATATAATATTGTTAAATCAATATTTTCCTTTTTCGTTATTTTCAGGTGTTTGATCTCTGGCTGTTGTTGAACTGAGATTTGTGTTGTAATATAATAACCAAAATTATGTAAATATATCTATATAGGTACTCCACATTTTAAACAAGTATAAATATTGGATTACAAAATATATAATTTTAGTTAAAGAAATGTTTATATAATACATATTCTGGAATTACAGTCTCTGTTATTAAAACATTAAAAAATATATTGCCTTGGTAAGATTATAATATATTATTCATATGTGTAGAGGTTATGTGGCTTGGGTACAAGAGAAGCTTTGTTTAGTATACAGGTGCTAGTACAGAGATGCAGAGATATAAATCAAAATGTGTATATTTGTGCAATCGATTTTGAAAAAGCTTTTGAAAAAGTCCGACATAACAAAATGCTAGAAATATTGGAAACAGCTGGATTGGACGATAAAGATCTACGAATAATTACAAATCTATACTGGCATCAAGTGGCAAGAATAAAGGTTGAACAAGAACTGTCGGATGAAATAAATATAAAAAGAGGAGTGAGACAAGGCTGTATATTGTCGCCTTTACTTTTTAACTTATATTCGGAGGAAATATTTAAGGAAGCCTTAATGGAGACAACCGAAGGTATTATTGTGAATGGAGTAACCGTCAACAATATTAGATATGCCGACGATACCTTAGTCCTTGCCAATTGCGGAGAAGACCTTCAAAATCTAATGAACAAAATAAAACAGACTTGTGATCAGTATGGATTAAAACTCAACGTTAAGAAAACTAAATATATGATAGTTAGCAAGCAAAATTATATACATGATGACGGTATAAAAGTCGGAGATGCCACACTGGACAGAGTAGAGAAACTCGTGTATCTCGGCAGTAATATCAATGAGAGCTGGGATCCAACCGCAGAAATTAAAAGACGAATAGAACAAGCCCGAGCTGCCTTTGTAAAAATGAGAAACGTACTTTGCAGTCACGATCTTAGCATTGACCTTAGAGTTCGTATGATATCTTGCTACATCTTTCCTGTCCTGCTGTATGGAGTAGAAGCGTGGACCCTAACTGAGGCTATGCTTAAACGCTTGACAGCCTTTGAGATGTGGGTATACAGACGACTACTGAAAATAAGCTGGGTCGACAGAGTTAGAAATGAGGAGGTCCTTAGACGGCTGAACCAAACAACACAACTGGTCAATATAATAAAGAAACGCAAGCTGGAATACTTCGGTCATATTATGAGACACCCAAAAATATGATCTTTTACATCTGATCATTCAGGGAAAGATCCAAGGTAATCGTGGTCCTGGTAGAATAAAAACATCATGGCTGAAAAATCTAAGGCAATGGTATGGAAAATCAACTACATCGTTATTTAGAGCTGCTGTCAATAAAGTCACGATAGCGAATATGGTAGCCAACATGATACCCAACGATCGATAACGGTCGTGGAACTAGAAGAAGAAGTAGAGGTTATTACATTACATACATATCCTAAAATTTTAGAATTGAAATAATAAATGCTTTCTTTTTGGTGATGCTCAATTGTCTTTAATTGTGCATGATAATTAACCAACGTGGTCCATATATCAGCTTACAACATTCATATAAAGAAAGGGGACTTTAAAGGTTAATAAATGTTTGGGAGATAAAATACTGGCAATTATAACTAATACTGACAGAAATATAAAAACAACAACAAAATGATAAATGGGATAAATTTAAATAATAACAAACAATAATAATGACGTTCGATATTCGTTCATCAAAATTTACGCATGTGCGAACTGAAAATCCAGTTTAAAATTGAGGATCGAATTTACAATTCTAGATTGGTTCGGAATTAAAAGTTCTTTGGGCTAGAACACTGAACCAATAATCCCCTCGAACTTATAATCCTGAACTTCTCGTTGCTGGAACGCGTTTTATGTAAAGCGCACGCTCAGTACGATTCTGAATCAGTTCAAGATTTCGCTGGAACAAACCTAATATAAAAAATAATTCGCGAATAATGTCATACTTGTGTAAACATCCAGCGGGCGGACTGTAAATGTGAAGCTAGCCACGAGTTAAGCCATTCAATCGAAAGCAGTATATTTATACAACTTTATGGGAAAATAAAAATATTGCTTTTACTATTTTCGTTAAAATTTCATCATATTTTTTATTTAATTTTAATTTGATTTTTTCATCATTTATATATTTAAAATAGTAAACAATAAACAGATAATGAATTTAAAAGAACCCCGGTTTTCCACATTATAGACAGGAATACTCATCACTGCACTATCCAGTACGACATTTGATTAGTTTTTGTTTTTTTCAATTTTGTTTAATTTTTTTTCATTAAGAACCTTCTACACACTATTAGAAAACTTAGAAAACAAAAGAGATAAATGAAATCGGCAAATTAGTGTAGTATGACAGGACATAGCGAAATGTGGATTTTTTTATATAAAATATGAAACAACACACAAAATATGAAAAAGAACAAACACAATGACTTTTATATGCTAGCTATAGGACTTGTTGTTTGATTATTTCTTGAAAAAAACTTGCAATTGTTGGGCTAAAAAAACTTACCATTAACATCGTATCAGTCTCTTTGTAAAACCTATCGTCCTATCGAAATATCTATATTTTCATTACCATACATCCAGTAAATCTACAATGTTGGAGCAAGAAATCTATTTATAAATAAAGATTCCTTGACAGTATATTATAAGTAAATAAAGTACCTAATTGTTAATAATTTATGTGTTTTTGTTTTAGGTACACTAGGAATGGATAATATCAGGATAATTGTGGATAACGTTTGTACATTAGCTGGATCTCCTACGAGAGAAATAGTTGCATCATGCTTAAGTTTTATAAAAGTGTATATTACGACACTTCCTAGTCCCATGGTAGCTTCGTCATTAGAAAATTTGGTAAATATTTTAATAGAATTAAAAACCAGTCAGAAAGAAACGAAGATGGTATAAGCTTACACATTTACTCATTAATATCATTGGTCATTATGACAATTTTTTTTTTTATTGAAAATATCAATGGCTTAAATGCAAAATATCGTATCCGTAAAACTGTTCAGAAGCCACAAAAAAATCTTGACTTACAAAGACTTCATTGAAATTAAACTTTTATTGTTATATATTCTTGTATTTTTGTTATGTTTCTTCTAATCTATTGCGAAGAAATATTTCATTTTTATTAAGTGTGTCACTAGATTTGGATGTGTTGCTAGTGTAACATACAACTTTTGAAGTATTTACTACGTCAGAGTAATTAAACAAAGTTGTAAATACTTGCCATGCTTATTCAACTTGTACTCAGAGGACATCTTTGCACGATCTCGGAATGAGGCACAAGAAGGTGTTAAAGTCAATGGGAGAATTGCTAATAACATCCGATATGCGGATGATACGGTAGGGGTAGGTAAAAGATATGCAAAGAAACCAAAAATTGTAATCACAAAAAAGAATACTCTAAACATAAACATATGAATAATTAATTGAACAAGGTAAAAATATTAAATATCTAACATGATAAAATGTTATATACATATGGTTTTACAACCATACAACATAGTAAAACAAAAAGTTTTACTACATATGAATAGAAATTGTGAACTAGTAGACATTATTAAAAAAAACATTTTATCTTGAACTAATGTTCTGACACGAGGGATATAACTTCCTTTAACTATGAACTGGTGAATCGATCTAGTGTCTAGAGCCTGACCCACTATTCTATGCAGACTTGCGCAGTTCATTTATATCCATTTCCGAATGTGTCAATGAGGTTTATGTGTATTGTTGGTTGCGAACATTTTTTTTTATAAATTAATAATATAATTTCTTCAATCCATCTATTTAACCCGTTTGATAAATTTAATAATGTTTAAATTACAAGAATAACTCTAAAATGAATAGTAAATAATAGCAAATCAAAATTAAAGGTTTTTTAAAATACTTCTAAAAAATACTTTTTGCGCATTTTTTCCAATAAAATTTGTTATTTTATATAGAGGATGTTGACTGATGTTATTATATTAATTGCTATGATACCAAATTTCTTATTTTAAATGAAACATTGGTTATATTATAAAATTTTGGATTCTGCACAAAATTCCCAGAACTTTAATATATTGCATGTTATAGATTTAATTAACTTATTTTAGGATACAGGGTGGTTAATGAATAGATCACTCTCTGCGTGTCTCCTTATGACTTTAAAAGGTTCTATACCTAATTCCAATAAAGAAGAGTGAGTTCATTTTTGTATCTCAACTTGTTTTTAATAATGTATAATAGAGTACTCTAAGATAATATGTATTATATTCTTTTAAAATATATATTATGTCAAATAAATAAATGAATGAAAAAATGGAATTTTTGCAGCTAGTTTCGTAGCAATTGACTAAGTGCCCAATTGTATTTTGGTGACCAACATGAGTTTTCACGAAATATGGTACATATTTTCCATCACTTTGGACAATTTCTTTTATCATAGCAGGACAGTATCAATTAATTTTATTGCTACCTTGTGTTTTAAGGTGTCTGTCGCCTTTACCTTTTGAGGTGAAAAATCCCGATCGGTGGCATATGTAGTTCACTATTCCTGCCCATTTTTCCTTTTTCCATAACAAAACCAGCGTTTGTTTCATGCTCTATTTTATTCTTCCAAGAAATAAAGTTATCATGGTTGGAAAACTCTATTAGATCATATTGCATAGTAATGCTAAGAGAAGTTTCATAATATTTAATAAAGTCCTTTTTAAAAGTGGCACTATAATCACACAGTGGACATTTTTGTTTATTTTTTTGAGTTTCCGCAGAAACCGAGGTGGAAACTGACACATTTGAGTGCACTTTTTTGAGATGAAAATTTAAATTTGGCTTATAACTAATATGTACATGTCTATATGTCTGTATGTACATATACTAATATGTATTTGTCTACAATCTGTACATTTGTAGATGTTGCCTTTTACAACTTTTAAAGGCGCAATTAAATCCAATTTGTTGGGATGAAAACTTTTTACATGTCGTCTTAGATCACTTAAACGTTTATAAAATTTTCCGCATTCCACACACTTAAAGCTTTGCGCACCGGACATTTTCACAACAAAATAAAATGTTCAACAAGAAAACACAGAACTGTGAACGATAGAAATACTCGAAAATTTATCAGTGTAGTCTGTAACAAACCAGACAAGAAAAGAAAATAAGAAAACACTAAGTTGTCACGTCACTAAGGACTAATGCATAAATAAATAATATAATATTAGAATGCATAAGTCTGTCGGTAATTTCCCCGATTCAAATTCATAATAGGTTATTCTTATAATTTAAACATTATTAAATTTATCAAACGGGATATATAGATGGATTGAAGTAATCATATTATTAATTTATAATAAAAATGTTAGCAACCAACAATACACATAAATCTCATTACACATTCAGAAATGGATACAAATGAACTGCGCATGTCTGCACAGAATAGTGGGTCAGGCTCTAGACACTAGTGTGAATCGATCTCCTGTCTTACATAATGCTTTTGCAAGTTGGTTTCCAAACTGAGCGTGTGTGACTTTAGAATTCGCGTCAGTTCTATGTTCAGCTGAATTGTAGTTGCTCCGAGGTCAGCTAATAATATACACTACATTATATTTAATATACGAAAGTTTTAGTCAACTTCCGGAACCAGAAGTCGTAGGAGGCTGTAAATGTTTTAGATTAACTGGACATATCTAAAAACCCTAAATTTTGATTAACAGTTTTAATTGCTTGCAATCTAGTAACATTATTGCATTAGCATTTAAATATTAACATCTTCTTCTTCTAAATTGAAATTCTGCCAGGTAACAATTATCTGTATTACATAAATCATCGCATTATGCCTCACAGCCTAAGGATTATATTAAATACTCCGAAACATACTAACTGCAGCACACTGTTGAGTTAAAAACACCTAACATAAGCTACTGAGATTTGTATTTCATTAGCCCTTCCTAGTAATAAGAAATGGAGCAACAAAATTTCATAGGGGCTATCAAACTTAAAACGATGACTAGATTTTTTGTGGAATATTCTTTGTTTCATTATTTTAATATAATATATTTAGCTGTTCATTACTTTAAACTTATGTATCCAGTGAAGAAAGGGGTAGAAAAAAGAGAAGAAAGTTTTTAAATAGACGTTTTGTTATATTATCAGCATGTGACGTTTATTCAATACTTACATATTTAATGCCCAATATTAAGGAGTTATCATTTAATTTGACCATTTATATTCTTATATGATTACAGATGAAAGGGTTATGTAATATGACGGAGGACTGCAAGAGGCATTTTAGACTAAAAATTCGTGACATTTTGGATAGGCTAGTCAGAAAATACGGCTGTGAATCTCTTACTCCTTTCGTACAAAACACTGACACAGTAATGTACAAAAGGCTTAGAAACTTAAGAAAATTAAACGCCAGAAAGAAGAGGAGGAAAGAAGAAGACAGAGAAGAGGAGAGTGATGATGAAGAATTCACTGTAAAGGCTAAACCAAAAAGGTAATTTTTAAAATACCGTTAACATAGTTATACTTGTATATTTTCAAATATTTCTTTCTATTTAAAAATAGTGACTAATTTCCAGTTAATTACAGAAATTATCCAAATAAAAAAATATATGTATAATTCATCGAGCAAAAAGACAGAAGAGAGAATGTAAAGGTAGTGGGGGCAAAAATATTGTTAGACGGGAAGTGCTATTTTGAGAGGCCACATTAAACAAGGAAAGAGGCCACTTTCCTTGTTTAAGAAATCAAATTTAGTTGAGTTATGTTATTTTTTGTCCCAACTGATACATGACAGCTTATTTATATTTAAGTTTTTTAACAATTATGTCACACTTTAGACTATTATCGTTTTTACTTAATTAAAACTTTCTAGTCTAAGACTCATTCTGAAAAATATTTATATCTGCTTTAAATTTGGCGCCTTTGCATTCCCGGATATGTCCTTCATATTAGGAGGCCACTTTTATGAATTTTGGTCTCCTTTTCATAACGGTTAGATTCATTCTTTTGTCTTTTTGCTCGATGGTATAATTGCATGCTGTATCATCATATAATGTTTATTTTAGACAATCATTTTCTGCTATATTGGACTGCTGTTAATCATTTACAATTAGTCGGGAAATTACCATATCACGGGTTTCCAATTCGAATAGCTCACACGCATTTGCCACTTATCATTTTTCAATCAGACCCTTCTCATTAACATCAATCAAATTGAATCTTCATAGCGTTTTATAATCCGACAGTTGCTGTTATGAAAATAAAATTAAAAATAAACTGCGAAGACAAGTACAATAAAAATGCTGAAAAGCGATGAAATAAAAACGAATTAAAAAATTATATAAATATTAACCGAAGACCTACGAAAAAGAACCAGAGTTATAGATGTGGCGGAGAGAGCTTACATATTGAAGTGGAGATGGGATGGCCACTTGCCAAGACCGTGCAATGCCCGATATTGTCCACTTCTAGCATTGCACCCTTTACTGTACAATCTCTGAAATAGACATAATCTTCAGACTTCGTATACAAGAATTGATGTAAAATGTTCAAATTTCAATAAGTAGCAATAGCGATGCGTCAAAATTTGGGAGGATGTGAGAGATATCGATTCATTTCCGATGTCTCGGAAAAACAGCAGAAAATCGAAAGGAAGGATGAAACTATTTGTGCTACCATGCTACCATTGTGGTGGATAACTCTAGAACCACTAGAAGTGTCGCCGAGGAGTTGAAGGTCTCGCATACCACAGTTAATAATGTATTAAAAACATATGGCTTTATCCTTTAGCCCTTTACGAGTTTAAAATATTCGAAAACGCAGTTATTTCCCGGAGATCATTTTCGTAGAATGAAGTTTTGTGAAGCTGCAATGAATGCATCTAACGAAAATGATAATTTTACAAAAAATGTCATTTTTACCGAACGCGATATTGATCTCAGGCAAATGAACATCGAAGTATTGTACATCGGACCTAACGCCCTCAAAAACTTAATGTGTTAAGTTCATAACATTATTAGAGATAATTAGATAACATTATTTCAACTATTCATAATCTCCCAGTTGTACGTTTTGAAGAGGTCTGGTATCAACAGGATGTTTGGTCCGTTCAAAATGCGCTTATCGTGAGAAATTACAGTTTTCCAGGATCGCATTATAAGCGGAACAGGCGAAATTTAATGGCCTGCGAGATCTCCCGATTTGGCTTACATAAATTTCTAATTCCAGTGACATATTAAATCCACCATATATGGCAACGATCTCGAGAGGGCACATAATCTGGTTGATTTAGAAAATAAAATAAGAAATGCATGTGCTACGATTACGCCACAACAGCTTGCAAATGTAAGACAAATATTTTATAATAGACTAGGTTATGGTCTTGCCAAAGAAGGTGGTATATTTGAACCTATTTCCCTCGATGCACACCCAATAGAGTCTTAATTGACACTAAAAATTAAAACGTCTGCGTCCTCGACGACAGCAGTGGGCTTACGAAAGCGCAGTTGCGACACTTACGTAAATGTAAACTACCTATGTCCAGCTGAAAGATTTACATACTGTATACCAGTCCTGTTCTATTAATTCTAGCTTCTTTGATGACAATTTCAAGAAGGATACTAAACAACAATGATGACAGTGGGGTCCCCTTATCGAACCCCCTCGCTGACTGGCAAACTTACGTTTCTTTTCCATTTATTTTAACCCTCTTCTCTGTTTTTCTCAGTGTCATTTTTACCATTCTTACTATTTTTTCTCTAATTTCCACTTTACGTAGTGCCTCTTACAGTTGTTTCCGTTTTACTCTGTCAAAAACTTGTTTAAAGTCGATGAATAGGGCCACTGTAGGTTTCCAGAATTCGTAACTTTCCGCTTGTATTTCAAGCAGCAAGAACATTTGATCTAGTGTGTTGCGCCCTCTTCCGAACCCACATTGATATTCTCCTCTGTCATTATCTATTTTTTGTGATCTTATATTTTATATGTACTGCAAGAATCTGCAATATCTGCAACATTCTCCGCTATTCTCCTGTAATTATGACAAACTTTTGTGAATTGGGCACATTGTGGCTTCAGTCTAGCATTTTTTCCAAATGCTTAATTAGTACTGGTCCTCCATATTTGAACATTTTAGCTATTACTTCATCCTTTCCTGGCTCTTATTTTTTTTTAATTTCTCTATTATTTCTTTTTTATTCGACGTTCTTTTCTCTGTTCGCTCTTGATCGGTATTTTGCTTCAGTTCTCCTTCGTCTTCTTTATGTTCAGTGTATGTATTTAGTTGATATATATCTAATTTCTTTATTTAAAAACTTTCTTCTAAGCATTTTAATTTATCTTCATTGTATTTTCTTTTCTTTGTTCTTGATATACCGTTTAGAACCTCGGTATACCGATTTTTCTTTTGGCTCATTTTCTCTGTTCGTTGTATTTTTCTCTATTTCTGATATTTTCTTTAATGCATCATCTTGAGTCTTAATTTATTTCGTTCATATACTTCTATTTTATATTTCTCATCGAACTAATCTTTGTATTGATCTTTTATATTTCTATTACTGGCTTGCGCTGCTTTGGTTATACACTAATAGGTTTAGTAGTAATAGGGTCTAATAGGTTTAGTTGCTTTATACCTTTTTTCCGCTGTTTTCTAAGAACTGGTATAAGTTGCTTCATTTGTATTCCAACTATAAAATGATCTGTGACTGCATCTGGTCCTCTGTATCTTCTTATGCTTTTATAAATGTTTAAATGTCTTCTTCAACGAACACATGATCTATTTAGTTTACAGTTCTCCCATCTGGAGGCCTCCACGTTCCTTGGTATATTCGTTTTTGTTGGAAGTAGGTACGTGCTGATAATGATCATATTTCTTTCTTTTGCAAAATCTATTACGAAGTGACTTTCCTATAGTGGGTACATATATTTCTTCCTATTTTTGCATTAGCATCACCTTTTTACATCATATTTGGGAATATTTTTAAATACTGAATCTATTTGATTATAGAAATCCTCCTTCATTTCTGTTTTTTTCTTCAGTCGGTGCGTGTATGTTTATAAATTTTATTTTTAGGCATTTTCCCCTTATTGTTAGTACTCATATTCTCTCTGAAATTGGCGTGAAGTCAACGATTAGACCTTTTAACTTTTTATTTACAACAAAGTCTGTGCTTAACAGTTTATTTTCTCCTCCACTGTTGAAAAATAAATAGTCACTTATTTCCATTGAGTTTTGCCCTAGTTGTTTCGTTGCTCTTAGTGCTACTATTTTGAACTTCTATTTTTTGCATTCGTCGACTAGGTGTCTTAGTTTTCTTTCCTCGTATGTTCCACTTCCTTCTAATATATATTCGTTTAATGTTTTGTTTGCATTGATAATCTGTACATTTTGTTCATCTTGTGTACCTTTACTTTGCCAAGCCGCCTTCGGTATTTTATCTTGTTTTAGCTGTGCTGCTAGTTTTTTAGTGTTACCTTTCTCTCTTTTATTATTTGTTGTTGGCTGTCATTCAATGTCCACATTTCTGTGTTTATGATTATCTGGTATCCTATTTTGACATTTTTCCATTATATCTCTCTGCCATAGCCTTACTTCTAATTTATTTCTGGATAATTCTTTCTTATTTTTTGACATATCATTTTTATAGATTCGCCCTTTTTTTAATTAACTTTTTATTTTTTATTACTTCGATTTTGTTTTTCTCGTTGTTAAGTTCCACTATGGAAGTGTTTTCTACTATTTTACTTATTTCATTATATCTGGGATTATCTACAAATTATAGACGTACGGAACAATATAAAAAAATATATTATTGAAACCAGCACAAGAAAGATTTATACAAAATAGTAAAGAGGTTAAAAATATTGGATGGCAGATGAAATACTACTACATGTGGGGGAAACACGAAAATATAAAGTAAAAAATATACAAAAGTATACATATACAACTAATAATTAGGAAAAAATCAAAATAGCGAAGGAAATGTATTTGATGAATCAGTATAAAGTCAAGTTTCACCCAACTTGAAGCAAAATATAATATGAGAAATATACATCAAAAATAAGAGACGTAACTGGAATAATTAAAAATGTCAACAGAGACAAAAACGGAATATTACTAATAGGTTTACTCAAGAAATTAAGAAGGTGGGATTAGTCCGTTAGGGAGCTGTTCTAAGATGAAAGAGGTAACAATTAAAACCTTCAGAGAGACAGACGATCACGGTAGATGAAATCAAATATGCTATCAACATCTCTAAATATACCAAGGCAGCTGCATGAGACGAAATACCTGTGTATAAACTAAAGACCGAAAGCGAGAAATAGGAGTAAATGTACTTAGTATAACGAACTAATTTACGAAAACAACTTGTCCAACTTTACAAAGCTGACCAATGGATCTAAACCTCTGAGACATCCAAAAAGTTGCTGAGTAGTATTTCTTTTCTTCTAGAGCATCAGTTGGTAAGGTAGAATGGGCAAAGAACGCGAATTAGTCGTAACCATAAAACGTCGCAAGGGCCATATAATGCGCACTGAACAAAACAACGATATGACCTACTTCGGACCATACTTCAAGGTAAAGTGCACGGGAAATGAGGTCCAGGACGAAGAAGAATACCTTGGCTGCATAACCTGAGTAAATGGTTTAACTTAACCACTACCGGACTTTTCAGGGCAGCAGTCAACAAAGTCAGAATAGCCATGTTAGTGTACAACATCCGTAACGGATAGGCACCATAAGAAGAAAAGCATCAGTAATAAAATTACAGGCACTTGTTCTCTAAATTTAATCGGGATGTTGGTTGCTATTTGGCGTTATGAAAGAATTAGTTGTAATCTATCGAACAGCAGATTTTTAAAAACGTTCGATATCATTGGCAGAAGACTAATAGTTCTATAACAATCAATATTTTCCGAAGGCTTGTCTGGCTTAGGAATTCTGTAGTGTAGTTGCCAGTTCTTATAATTGCATTAAGTACCTGTGTTAACTACTCTATCTAATAATACAAATAAAATTTTCTCTTTTCTTAGTTTTACATCATTCAATTCATCAATTTTACGTAATAACATCAACACAAATATTTTTAAAAATATCTTTGTACTTTCTTCTTATGACGAATAGTGTATTTATGTAGGATTCAATCACAATTGATTGTAATGAGAATTAGAATTTTCATCTTTTTTTTTTACTTGAATTTCGATTTCCAATTCGGAAACCGTTTTCAAAATTAAACATTATAAACTAAGAAATTATTTTAACCTGCAAAATGACATAATAAACTGTAAAATAACATTTCTTAATTTATAAATTTGTTTTGAATGCATACATTTGATTTCCAATACGAAAATCGAATGTATTCTAAAATTCAAAACAAATGTAAAATGTAATTTTCATTACAATCAATTGTAGTTTAATCCCACAAAGGTAGAATAATTAACTTAAACATGCCACAAGAAAACAATTTCAGAACCTCTTATTATGATATTGGCATAATTTGTAGCAAAATTCCCTTAAAAAATTCACTTACGGTCAAAGCCTTTTTGTTATTACATGTCAGAATTTTTACATCTGGTTTTCCTTGTTCATTTACAAATCGCCCGCGCCCTCTGGTAGTTCCAATACGAATTGATTTACTTTCATTCGTTACTTGTAAGATTGTTATGATGTATCGTATATTTTTCTAGCGTCGAAGAAATTTTGGCAGATTCAGATTCAGAATTCGAAGATATGGAAACAGATGAACCCAAAGTTAAAAATAAGAAGCAAGCGAAAACATGGATTGAAGAAGATCCTGACAACATCGTTGACTTTATTGATCCAAGCGTCATTAGTAAAATCACTGGTGAGTATATTTAATTCAAGTTTTTCCAATTCTCGGATAGGGATATCTTTTATTCAATTCAGAACCGATGTATGCTTATAGGGCTGAATAGTAGTACCATTCTTAGTTCTTAACTTTTGACGAGCAGTTTATTATAAATATTCCTCTATAAATTATAATTGTCTATGGATATAACAAGATATGGAAAATCATAAGATAAACAAAGAGATTAAGAATTTTTACCAACCATGATGAAAAGGTTGCCAATGTGAGTACATAATACTAGTATATGGGAAATGAGTCAATACTCAAAATTTTAAGTAGTTCTTATTAATAAATTATTAATAAAAACTTTATTAACTTTAATAATAAAAACTACTTAAGGTAGTGAGTATTGACTCATTTTCTATATACTAGTTTTACCAAGAAGTCAAAGTCAATAAAGCTACGAGTCCTGGAATCGCATGCTACTGCATGACTAAAGAAGGAACGCTAATAGGTGACTTACCAAGAAATCTAGAAATGTGGGCAGAATTCTTCGAGGAACTGTTGAACCCAGAGGATAGTACCAATGAAATACAATCACAAACTGGATCGAAGCAAAGCAATATTCATTCCGAAACAAAAGACCCATCAGATCAGGAGATAGAGGAAATAAAAAAGCAGCTGGAAAATAACAAGAGTCCAGGAGAAAATGGTATGACAGCAGAAATATTCAAGGAAGGTGGAGAGCTATTGCTGAAACGAATAACCAACCTAATAAAACGAATTTGGAAAAATGAGAAATTACCACAAAGCTGGAAAAATGCATCTATATGTCCGCTCTACAAAAAAGGAGATAAATGCCTATGCCAAAATTATAGAGGAATTGCTTTATTGGATGTAGCATATAAGATATTGGCTTTATTAATAAGAAACCAACTATCAAAATAAGAACTTGAAATAATAGGTGAATATCAGTGAGGGTTTAGAAGAGGAAAGTCTACAATTGATCAGATTTTTACGATGAAACAATTATTGCACAACAACCACGAACAACATCTAGGTTTGCAGATTTTGTTTATAGACTTTAAGCAGTCATACGACTCAATCGATAGAGAAAAACTATAGGAAGCGATGGATCTGTTAAAAATACCTACCAAATTTATTAAGTTAGTGGCAATGACGTTGAAAGAAACATTAATAAAGTTATCCTGGAAGGGAGGTTATCAGAGACCTTCACGGTAAAAAAGGGATTAAGACAAGGAGATCCACTGTCCACAACTTTATTTAACCTTATCCTAGACGCTATTCTACGACAAAGTGGTGCACAGACGTATGGTATAACATACTACAAGAGACAACAAGTTATCACTTTTGCAGACGACATTACATTGATTACGAGATCAAAATCAGAACTCAGAAGAATTAAAAAAAAATGAAAACAATTTTAGAAAAGCTCGTACTGTGTATAAACGAAAATAAAACAAAATACTTTGAAATGAGAGCAAAGAAAATGGAGCCAGAAGATAACATAAGAATAATAAGCGGAACTGACGATTACAAATAGGGTTGAAGAAGATACTGAAAAAAAAAAAATAACTAAAGGGAGTAAAGCTATAAATAGGAGCACTAAACAGAATGAAGTTAAGGAATTGAATTGAATTTCGTATCCAGGAATACGAAAATCAGTATTTACAAAACGATTGTGCAACCTTCGATTATGTATGGCAGCGAAACTTGGATGTTAATGCAGAAAAATACACAGAAATTATTGGAACGATAGGAAAGAAAGATATTACGCAAGGCTTATGAAAGGACAAAGGATAAAGACGCCGTATGGAGAAGAATAAATAAGGACGTAATTAAGCACTACAACCAACTAAGCATTATAAAAAAAGCATAAAAAGCACGTTGGATGAGAAATGTCTATAGGATGTCCACAAACACACATGCAAAAAAGTATTAACAGGAGGAGCGGGTGGAAAGCGCAGACGAGGAAGACCAAAAAAGAAGAAGTAAGAAGATGTTAAATCCTATGTAAAAAAACTAAGAGTATCGGACTGGGAGGAAAAGACGAAAATCAGAGATGAGTGGAAAAAATAGAAGCTATTCACCGTCAGGTGTGAAGAGCTGTTATGAGTATAACATAAGTATAGTAGGGAAGCATATACGGGGTTTGTCTTATAAGTTTTGGATATATCCGCTTAGAGGGCGCCACCAATAAAAATTTCGACACAAATGTAACCTCAATCTTTCTTCTTCTTCCTCTTTATAAGCAATTCTGCTTATTCATTGGCGGATTATTACTTGTATGAAAGGTTGGCGACTTATTTCTTGCTATTTTGACGACACGGGTCTCCTCCATTATGTTTATGTGGTTATTCCATTCTTTTATTCTATTTTATGTCCATTGATTTATACGCTGTACGTTACATTTTCTTCTAATGTCTTCACTTCTCTTTCGATCTCTCAGCGTGTTTCCTATAATTCTTCTCAGTACTCTCCTCTCTGCCGTTTTCAGTAGCCTTTGCGTTGTGGCCGTGGCTCAATCTTTTGTTGATATAAATCGAGAGTTTCATTGCGATACAGTGAATTTTTGAAATTAGTAAGTCAGTTGAAAAATGAATCTTACCAAGAACATTTTCGAGCAATATTTTTTTACAATTTTTGGAGAGGATAATCCCAACTGCAATCAAAACGTCACACCAGTCAACTATTTTGCGCTGAACGTAATCGCTCTACTCTCAGCGACGAATCTAGACTAGGTCTACCCAAAACAGCAGTTACCCAACAAACATTGATGCGGTTCGTCAGCTCATTAAGGATGACCGCCGTGAAACATACTGGGTGATAGAGGAATCTTTGGGCATTTCAAACACCTCGATCGAAAAGATCCTACCAACAAAAAACACCAAAAAAATAATGGTGCGTTCCCGAAGCGTCAAACAAAATGGTCGAAACTTTTGTGTCAAAATCTGATCATGTGACAACAATTGACATCCTACATAAGGACAATGCAAGTGCTCACACTGCCCAAAAGACAATAGAGTTTTGGAGCTTCAAAACATCGAATTGTAAAACATCCACTGTATAGCCCCGACCTAAGTTCCAACGACTTCTTCACGTAATGTCTATAGGATGTCCACAAACACACATGCAAAAAAGTATTAACAGGAGGAGCGGGTGGAAAGCGCAGACGAGGAAGACCAAAAAAGAAGAAGTAAGAAGATGTTAAATCCTATGTAAAAAAACTAAGAGTATCGGACTGGGAGGAAAAGACGAAAATCAGAGATGAGTGGAAAAAATAGAAGCTATTCACCGTCAGGTGTGAAGAGCTGTTATGAGTATAACATAAGTATAGTAGGGAAGCATATACGGGGTTTGTCTTATAAGTTTTGGATATAGCCGCTTAGAGGGCGCCACCAATAAAAATTTCGACACAAATGTAACCTCAATATTTCTTCTTCTTCCTCTTTATAAGCAATTCTGCTTATTCATTGGCGGATTATTACTTGTATGAAAGGTTGGCGACTTATTTCTTGTTCCAACGACTTCTTCACGTTCCCAAAGATCAAGAATTCAATGCATGGGCAGCGATTCCAGTTGCCAGAAGAAGCCATTGATACCTTTAAAACAGCGATTTTGCTGGTGTCAACTGAAGACTGGAATAACTGTTTTACCAATTTGTTTGAATGTATGCAAAAGTGTATCGATCTTGGTGGGACATATTTTGAAAAGCAGTAAATTACTTTAAGTCTATATATTTTTTGTCTTTTTGGCTATATGCAAAACTCAAAAGGCAACCCTCCTATAAATATCTTTATTCAACAATATATTTATTTCTTCGTTTGTCGTCATCTCTGGTGTTGGAGGTTCATCATCGTCACCTTTAGCAAACAGAGATTGAAAGTAATCTACTCATGTTTCCTTCTGAATGTGTTTCGTTTTTATTAGTTCATTCATCTCTTTTCTTTGTCCTCTGATCATTCTCCATATTTCTTTTTGTGTTCTGTAGAAAACATGTTACATCTGTTTTGAGAAACTCTGCTATTGTTCCTTTTTTATTTGTCTAACTAAAATATTCGTTTCATTTCTAATTCGTTTATACTGGTTGTATGCCTGTTGTGTTTATTGTGTTCTGTATTATAAAAAGGCTTTCTTCTTTTCTTCACATTTTGTCTTCACTTCCTCTCTAAACCATGGTGTTTTCTTTTTTGATATGTTAGTGCTCGTTACTTTCGTCTCTCCAAGTGATTCTGTTGCTGCGTTAATTATATTATTTTTGAGTTTTTCCCAGGTTTCCTCGAAGTTATCGTTTTCTAATATTTCGTTTCCAGCGATCTTCTCTCATATTCTTTTCCTGTATAAGTATTCCGTCGATTCCGTATTTACTCCTTGCGCCGCTCTCTTGGGTGGGAAGTATTTCAGGATTATTCCTATTTTACATAATATTAGGCTATGGTCGCTACCTACATCTCCTTACGTTGATTATTTTTGATGGATGTATAATATAATCTATCTTAGATATTTGTTCACGGGTGTTATTAAATATATATTTGTGTTGGTCTTTGTGGTCAAAAAATGTGTTGTTTATTCTTAGTTCGTTATTCGTGCGGAAGTTGATTATCAGTTCTCCATTTTCGTTTTTAACATTCTCGTTATGTTTTTATTGAAAATACTCCTCAATATTTATTTCTTCAAACGAAGAAATAAATATTGAGGAATAAGAGGTAAATGAAGCATTAAGGAAATTAAAAACTAGAAAATCATCAGGAGAGGACAGCATACCGAACGAACTCCTAAAGTACTGAGGACCAGATCTGAGCAAACAACAATAAAACTAATTCAAAAAATAATAGAACAAAACAGAATTCCTCAAGAATGGAGATCAAGCATCCTAATACCTCTCTTCAAAAAGGGAGACAAACCGGGAATAAATGGAATTATAAAACTAGCAGAAAAACAACAAGGTTTTAGGTCGGGAAGATCATGCACCAACACTATATTTATAATGAGGCAAGTGCAAGAGAAAACGTTAGAATACAACAAACCGGCATATCTATGTTTCGTGGACCTTACAAAGGCAATTGACCGAGTCAAATTAAAGCACGTTATCCACTTACTGTATGCAGGAGAGATACCTGTAGGAATAATCAAAACGATCGAAAATATGAAATTAAAATTACTAAAATTAAATAGCTGACACCAAGCAAGCAATCAGATTTTAAAGCGAGTAAATTCCTTAACTGGTAAGCCTATTGGATACTTAAAATTGTCATCTAAGAGACAACGGTTGACAAATTCTTAAAGTCGTTAACTTATTTTTCTTCGAGCTACAGGTAAAAATAATTGAGTTCTAAAGGTTGTATCATGGTTTCCTTATGTTGTCGGCAATTTCTTAAAGTCGGTAACATATTTTTCTTCAAACTATAGAGGTATGTAATATCTTTCAAATTTGTTCGAGATACAGAGGTCGATTTTTTTGCGAGTTTCGGAGGTTTTCGACATATAGAGGTTCGACTAAATTTCTTCTTCTTTAAGTTCCATCTTCTATCGAAGGTTGGAAATCATCATGGCTATGCGGACTCTGTTGACTGCCGCTCTAAAAAGTTCTGCACTACTGCATTCAAACCATTCCCTTAAGTTCTTAAGCCAGGATATTCTTCGTCTTCCCACATTTCGCTTTCCTCGGATTTTGCCTTGCATAATAAGTTGTAATAATGCGTATTTTTGCCCTCATCACATGTCCCAAGTACTCAAGTTTTCGTCTTTTAATAGTTAATATTATTTCCGCCTCACTTCCTATCCTTCTAGTTACTTCCATGTTTGACATTCTTTGAATCCATGATATTCGTAGGATTCTTCTGTAACACCAAAATTCAAAGGCGGCCAGCTTATTCAGATGAACTTGTTTTAGTGTCCAAGCTTCCAGACCATAAAGAAGAGTAGAGAACACGTAACATCGAAGCATTCTCAGGCGTAGTTCTAACCTTATATCCCGACAACAAAGAAACTTTTTAAGTTTAATAAATGATGTACGTGCTATTTCAATACGTGTCTTAATTTTTAATTTGTAATTTTTAATTTTTAATTTGTATTTTTTTAATTAAGTTTATTTTTAATTGTACTTTACGAAAAGTAGTCTCTTTTAAAGCTTCCGACAATTAGTGTGTCAATATGTTCTTATTTTGAGAGGCATATTGGTACAGTTGATTTGAAGAACAAGAAATTTCTTGATAATTTATTGTGTACTTTATTTTTAGCTACAAAACCTGGACTCATCCAAACAACCTTTGAAAAGAAAAAGCCCGAGAAAGACCGAGGATTTAAAACGGCCCCGGATGGCAGGCTCATAATAAAAGACGATTCGTCGTCAGATAGTGACGACGACAAAAAACTTAAATTTTCTGATGACTCTGATTCTGATGATGATTCTCAAAGTAAAGTCGAAACACTACTGCTAACAGATCGTAAACGTAAAAGAAGTAATGCTAGCGTCAAAAGTGGATTTAGTTCAGTTAGTTCTCAACCTCCCAATAAATATAAGACTGGAGGTGTTGGTATTCACAGGTATGTGTGTTGAAATTTACGTTAATATTTTTCATTAATTACAAAATAGTTTCCAAATTGTAGGCAATAAGTTATCTAAAATTCAAATACATCTCATTCAAATCCATTCTTTAACATTTGGGTTTATTGTGGCAAGTAGAAAAGAATAGTGGATCAACGTTGACGTAAGGTAGATAAAGATATATCATTACCACTGCTCACTTAACATTGAGTAGCATATCGTTCACGCCTTTGAAGTGAATTTTTAAAGTAGAAAATCATATTGTAGTTAAAGGAAATGTATCTAAATATGAAAAATATACGTAAACGCCAGAAGTGTGTCTATCGATACGGAATAATATTGACAAAGTAGTTCGACATCCACGAGAAGTAAAAATGAAGAATGAAGAAGAAGAATGTTGATAAACTAATAGTTCAACCGAAGTGTAGACTCAGATCTTCTCTTCTGTTGTGTGCTTTTGTGCTGAGTCTAATACAATTTTTCACGTCTCAAGGAAAAATCGCATTTACATTGTCTCATGAAAATCTTCAAGATCATGTGAGAAGTAAGACAGGGCTGTGAGCTCTCGACGACTTCTTTTAATACAATATACATACTCTGAAAAGTATATTATAAGGCAATCAATTCTGTTGAGGTAAATTGTAAGCTATTATGGGATTATGTAGGTGCCCTAAATAAACTAGGCACAAGTTTTAGTAATGAAACAAACAATGAAAAAGCAGCTGACATGGCCAAACAAGGCCCATCAATGCTATTGTTGGACCGGAACACTTCTGCGGTGTTACAAAGGCAGGAACAAGAACGGCTACAAGAAAGTGGGTAGAACACAAATCTCTGGATTGGTGGAGGAATTAACCAGGATGAAGACAGGCGCAACAGTTCATTATAGAAGATTTGCCAAAATTTACGGCATACCTAATAAGCAAAGGCAGCAAAACAGTCAAAGCCATATAGGTCTGCTAACAGGACACTGTAACCTGAATAGGCAGGTGAAGCTGATTGGATTGGCAGATGATGACCTATGCAGATTCTGTCACCTAGAAGAAAAAACAGCAGACCATATTTTATGTCAGTGTGACAGCCTGGCAAATGTGCGGTTCTTTTCATTAGGCTAAGAAAAGCCACCAGCAAAGAGCAACATGGAAGTCTGGAAGTTATTAGACCTTTTAAAAAGGGTCAGGCTGTAGAATGCAATCTAAGACTAGAGGACCACATTAGATCTGAACAGGCCGCAATGGAATAAGTTAAACATTTCTGAATAAGTTGAACATAAAAAATTGGATACGATACAATGCGTCCATCAATAGTACACGGCGGGCAATACAAATGGCAAAAATAGGAAAACCACTCGACCTCGGTGAGGTACCACTCCTTAATAATAGCTAAAATAAACTTACTGCTGCAGACTTCTTTAATCAAAAAAACAATATTATAATCATGAATAATGGGGGTGTTTATTCATTAATTTTCATTAAAAATTATTTATATACTTCTATTTATAAATAATAATCTATAAATGGCAAAAAATTCAAAAAGAAAAATTTAAACCTTTATTTTTATTGTATTGAATAGTTGTTTACTTTAAGTTTCAACTCATATTAGCTTTGAGCACGTGTGCTTAGTTGCTTACTAACTTATAGCCAGTTCCAGATTCGAGGTCATAGTTTGTCCAACGAAGCACAATATTAATTGTTTAATTTACTAGATAGTTGTGATTGAGATAAGTGCATCGAGTATACCACCTTATAGTCTGTATGATTTTGAAAAAAAAAAGATAAAAATATACTACTAATAATTTAGTAAAAAGTAGGTGACCAATACATCATCATGATACTATTTTCATCGAGTTAACATATTGAATAAGCTCACTTGAAAAATTGTGAAATGTATTAAGTTGACCAGACCTGTAGGTAAACCCTGTGTTATGTTGATATCAATAGTCGCCAAAAAACGATACGTGTCGTACTCTGTCTTCCATTTCAAGGTGTCAATTGTCGTTTTGTATCAACTTATTTGTAGCTGTGGCCTCGCTTCCACTCAACTCCTTCAGACGTGTTGTTTTATAGAGAGACACACGTCGCTTGATAATTGGACGCATTGGTTAGAAAGAGATACAACTAATCGGTAAAAGCGTTCAAAATTTAGGTTAGAGTTAGCGGTTTATTTATATGTAAACATCGTGTCGTATATTGTATAACCGTATCGTATAAATCTTATTTTTTTGGTATTTTTCACTTTAATGGAGTTAGGAAATTTGATTTTATTTGCAAATGTCTCAATAATGGCTTCAATTATTTCAAAATTATTGCCCTAGACATTATTTGTTGGGACACTAATTGTAAATTTTGCCCTATAGTGTTTTGGTAGCTACCAGTAGCAAGAAATTGGAGGGTATCAAAAAACTTTATTGCAACTGGAACTGCCACAACATTATTATGGATGACCATATTTTGCATGATTCCATTTAATATATCTCTTGCTATATCTTTGGTTAAACGATACAATCCTTTAAACTGAAAATCTGTTAGTTCATTGAAAGGATCACTTTAATCTCTAAGTAAACGCCTATTAATGTTGTTATTGTAGTTTCTTAATACTCTTAACCTCTCCTCATCCTCAAAAGCTAATACGTTCATATTGTTCACAGGCAACATTATCACTCAGTATACCTTACCTACTAAATAAATTACTTTTAAAATAAATTAAATTGCAAAATACTTAGTAATACCAAGACAAAAATGTCACTAAAATTATAAAGTCTAAAATTAAAAATTTTGCATTGCCATTGGATATAATTTTTTAATTAAAAACGTGTAGCCAATAACAATACACTTTTACAGAGAGAATCTTGAATCTGTATATCTACCTTAACTATTGCCAATATTAGAAACACAAATAACAATGAATGTTTTTGGAGTGAACAATAAGATCTCGAAAATATCCGAAGCAAAAGCGACACTGACACAGAGTACCAAAATAATAAGATGTAGTAATGAAAGTCGCAATGAAATATCGGTTTCTACATGTTGCAAGCAACATGACACAGGGTTTCACAGCTGGCAACATTATCCGAAACTTGATCTTTATTGGTATATTTTGTGCAAATCAAAAATTAAATTTTGTGTTTAATATTTGACTCTTTCATATTTTTTCAGACCTTTGGGAGGTAGCAGTTCTTCCGTTAAAAGCGGATTTAGCTCAGCAGGTTCTGAATATAAATCTAGGAAAGCAGCTGGAGATGTCAAAAAGAAGGGAAAACTGGATCCCTATGCATATTTACCTTTGAAACGTACATCCTTGAATAAGAGGTAATTTCTTTTTCTTTTTTCTGTGAACATATTTAAGATGCAGTGGGTAAACTGGCGAATTATATATAGGATGAAACATATACAGGCTACATTGTAAAGGGGAACTGACTGCAGTGATCACCATCGTTTTGTAATTTTAATTTAACATTTAACAATTGTGTGCTTAGTTTTTTTTTAAATCAAACTTCTATAGCGATAGGAACATATCCTTTTAGATGGGGAAAAATTTGAACTTGGTGTCAGCATCAAATCGGCCACACTTTGAGTAATTGTATTGCAGTTTCAGTGAGTAGTAACTATGAACGTAATGTTAAATAGTGAAATAAGGAATTGTACAAAAATACCGAGAAAAATTTAAAATAAAATGAAAATAAATACCGAGCAAGAGATTTTAAGTTAAGTACTTTAGGCAAGCTAATTTCGGCAACAAATTTTGTTAATAACGTTTGTGGCTGTACTAAATTGTAGCGAATTAGTTTTGGTCGTGTGGCAATAGTGGCAAGATAGGATAGATGCATTTAATCGTCTCTGGAATATATTGAGGTTTTACTTTTAAAACCTCTTCGCATTTTTTTGCACGATCGCATCGTTTCTTCCATTCTTCGACTGAAAATTCAGAAAAAAACTCTTCACACAATTGTTGCACAGCTTTTATATTAAAGGGTAGGTTCTTTTGTGCAACATGTTGTTTCAGAGAAGATCAGTTAGTTTTTCCACTAACCATCTTTTGTAATTTTCAAAATTCATTTCGTGATGATTATCTCCCGTTAATGAATTTGATTTAAATATTTAGTGCATTTTTTATGAATCCATTTTCTCCACCAGCATGTACTATTATTAAACGTTGTCCTTTTGATACTGGCCTTAAGTCCTTTATTTGAGTCATCATTCCAGCAAGTATCAACTGTGTGGGAAGCGTGGATGTATGTTTCGTCCATATACACTATCGGCCTATTTTCCTTTCTATAGCTTTTAATGGCACGTAAATATGGCAGTCTTAAGTGACGAATATCTTGTTTTTCCATAAAAAGCTTTCTGTTTGTTTTTTTTTCTCCATCGAAAACCAATAGATTTGACGACGTGTAAAGAATCCATACCTCCTGAGTAACCGGTTTCTTTAAATTTTCTCCAAATATTTGGCATCATGGGAACAATTTGATCTGTGGTATATGTATTTATTATAATTCTTCTTAATTAAGCTTTATCGGCATCGTCGAGGTCAGTTTTAGTTTTTTTTTTGTTTCTTCGTTTTTTCGGAGACTGGAATGATGAACTTTCACCAGCATTTATTTTACTTTTTTCTTTTACGATATTTCTAATATTTCGTTCCGATACGCCTATAGCAGCAACAACGCGTTCATACAGCCGGTCGAACGGAATTTTCTGCGCTCCTAAGGATTTTTCTTCTTTCATAAATTCAAACACATTCGAAATTACTTCACGAGTTTGCCTATTAAACTTATAAAGTGCTTTTAAAATCCATCTTTTATAGCATTTAATCCGGCACTGGTTATTATGTTTCTTAATTAAAGAGAAAACAAGCACTGAGTCTCAAATCGAGCGACACGTGGTAGGTCTGGTGGTTTTAGTTGGTAGGCAGGATAATAGGAAGGCATATGTTTACAGGTCCTCCTTCTTCTAAGGGGAAATGGGCTCGGATGTATTCTTCTACCCTGAATCCAACACACGTCAGCCACTTCTAGAGATGGGTTAACCTGGTCCGGTTTTTAGAAATTTCTACCCTCAAAAAAAACCCTCAACTTTATTAGAAAGTATGAAAGCTATTTAATTTCGATTATGATTACTGTTTTCACTGTATGAGTTGTATCGTCATTTATATTGCATCTTTCGTGGCCTGTCAACGCAATTCATTAATATTCAACATTGAGATATTCACTATTTTCATTTCTTCTATAATATGAGTTCTATTGTATTTATAATATTGTTCTAGTGGCATCTTAATAAAATTTACTATTTTTATTGACGTTTCGATTTCCATTTCGTCAAATAAATTTAATTTAAAGTAAAATTTCCTGCTTCAGAACAATATTATGAGTTTTTCCAGACTCATATAAGCTTCCTAGACTTGATCAATAATATAATATTGAAGGTCGTACCATGGGGACAAATATCATTGTTGTAAACCAATTTGGATTTTGTGCGTCTAGGAAGAAATTAAAAACTGGATGTGGCACTGGAAGTGACCAAAGTATGCATTTAAAATCCAGATCCATTTTTTTAAGGAACACGCATGGGACTGTTTTTACTACTCCATGTAGTGTATGGTTGCTCGATCATTACGTTTTATCATTGTAGTTGGGTTTTTTTATACCTGTGCGGAATTCACCGCTACGCCCGTAGCCCGCGGTAAGAAAACTATGTTCCCAAATATCGGTTCGCAATTGCAAAAAGTGCGTATTAAAAAGTCTAACATGGCTGTCAGATCAAACACTTTCATCAAAATGTACAAAGACAGTGAGAGACCAAGACGCAGGATACTTTCAATTTGTAATGTCAATTCAGGTTATATGTAAGGTTTAAGATCGAGAAGAATAAGGGTTTAATCTGCTTTTGTAAGTAATAAATATCCCCCAGTATTTTATACCTTTTTTTTGTTTGCTGTTTTGCCATATTGTATAATTTATCTCAATATTTAGATTACGCTAATAATAATTTTTATTCAAATATCTTGATATAATTTTTTGCATACATCGGCTTATAATGTTAATCTGCTAACTCTATTTACTGAAATTTTACAAAATTAGTAAATTGATTTTGATAACAAATTTTAATTATTGTGATAGAGCAGGTATGCAGGGTGGTCCTTAAGTAATTGTACAAAAATAAAACGCAGATTTTACACTTTAAAATATTACGATTAAACCCAACTTGCTTTAATAAAATGTTGATATTAATAAAGATACAGCGTGTTAGTGGAAATTTAAAATTTTATTTTTCACTATAACTTTCATGTTTGTAAACATTTATGTATAAAAATTTACAACAGGTTACTATTGAATATCAGGAATTACAATTTGATGCATACTTTGATATAACTAATAGAGTGCGCCACATATGTGGCATCCGTTTTCTCTTAACTTTTTTATGCTTCAAGTTATCGGTATTTTTGATAAAAAATATTAAAGATACATTATTTTAACAAAAAAAAGGTATACCTGTTAATAACTTCAAAACTTAACAGTTTTCGAGATAATCGCATTTTACAAATCAACTGCATAATTCTGATTTAACGCAATTACTCTAGGCAATGAAAGAAAAATAGATAAAAAGATCAATACTTCTGAATTCTGTTATAAAATGCCTTTAATAAAGTTAATAGTTAACGAAATATTACATAAAATAAATATATCAACAGGATAATTAATAATAGGGTTTAATAAAATAACAGAATAATTGGATTTTACATCAAACATTTTACGTTTTGTATTAAATTAAAGTCATAATCAAAACATTTTATTTGCAAACCAAATTAAGAAATAATTAAACTAAATAACATTCCATATTATTAATTCATTAATTCATTCCATAAAATATGCTGTCATATTAAATAGCATCATTGGTTCTAAAGAAACTGCTGAAGTACTTATTATAAGTATTATAAGTATAATAATAGGTATTCTTTTGTGATTTTTATGAATTAAATAAATATATTAATATCTCACCACATGACCAAGGAATATGACTACCACGAACAATCCAACGTTCAGAAAAGTTTTTTTTTATTTAGAATTTCCGCATCAACCATTAAAGGTTATTAGCGGGTTTTCCAGATTTTACAGTTGTTATTAAATATACTAATTACAAATTGCGTATTAAATTACAAATAATAAATTACAAATTAGAAAAAGATACATAATATAACTTAAATTTTGTGTAGTAAACGTATGTCCTTAAGGAATTTGATATATTACTGTTTAAAATATCTTTAAGTTTCTTTGCTTCTTCTGGTACATTGTTGATGGCTCTTTCGTAGGAATAAAGAGGACATTCAATCAATACATGTTGAACAGTTATTGGACATTCACAATAGGAACATTCAGGTGGTAGTTCTTTTGTTATGAGATGCTGTTTTTGTTATGTTCAGAAAAGTTGTTTTTAAATACTGTTCTCACTCCCCTTTCTCTGTAACGTATTGATGTACCATCTTGTATAAACCACATATTTAGCCTTAAGTTTGATGACAATTTTTCCAATAAATCAATAAGATGATTTTATAAAAAATGTAAATAAATCTCACCATTCAAATTGCAACGTAATTCGCATATCCGTAAAATATCATTCAAAATTCATATTTAAAATACATGTCCTATGGTTTGGAACCATTGGTAATTATTTTTTACGGATATGCGAATTACTTTGCAATTTGAATGTCGAGATTTATTTACATTTTTTACAAAATGATTTTATTGATTTATTGGAAGAATTGTCATCAAACTTAAGGCGAAATATGTGGTTTCCACAAGATGGTACACCATTACATTACAGAGAAAGCGGAGTGAGACAGTATTTAAATACAACTTTCCTGAACGTTGGATTGTTCGTGGTAGTCATATTCTTGTGGTGAGATATTAATATAATTATTTAATTGATAAAAATTTCAAAAAATTACTTACTATTATACTTATAACACTTATAATAAATACTGCAGCAGTTTCTTTAGAACCAATGATGCTATTTAATATGAGGCGATATTTTATGCAATGTATTGACAAATGAATCAAACAAAATGATGGACATATTGAACACTTACTTTGACAAAAAGTTTAATGTTATTTAGTTTAATTATTTCTTAATTTGGTTTGCAAATAAAATGTTTTGATTATGACTTTAATTTAATACAAAACGTAAGATGCTTTATGTAAAATCCAATTATTCTGTTATTTATCAAATTCTATTATTTTATCCTGCTGATATATTTATTTTATTTAATAATTCGTTAACTATTAACTTTATTAAAGGTATTTTATACCAAAATTCAGAAGTATTCATGTTTTCCTTTAATTTTGTTTCGTTGCCTGGAGTAATTGCGATAAATAAGAATTATGCAGTTGATTTCTGCAATGCGATTATCTCGAAAACTGTTGAGTTTTGAAGATATTAACAAGTATACCTTTTTTTTTGTTAAAATAATATATTTTTAATATTTTTATTAAAAATACCGATAACTTGAAGAGCAAAAAAGTTAAGTGCAAACGTATGTCACATATGTGGCGCCCTCTCACAATCAGCTACATCAAAGTGTACATCAAATTATAATTTCTGATATTTATTCTAATAGTACCCAGTTGTAAATTTTTATACATAAATGTTTATTTAAGCAACTTGACTTAAATCGTAATATTTTAAAGTGTAGAATCTACGGTTTCTTTTTTTACAATTACTTAAGGACCACCCTGTATACGAAAAGTATGTCCACCCGAAAGTGGAGTTCACCGAATAACACGGTGAAGTCGACAATATATTAATCCTTAACAAAATGATTAACTATATTCTTATTTTCAGGAAAAAGAATAAGGCTGCTGGTCAGTTTAAGCATATCGTAAAAGCAGCAAAATTAGGAGCTTTAAAAGGTGCCAAAGCAAAAAGGAATAAAAACAAATAATTTATTAAGTGTTAAACAATTATAGAAATAAAACTAATGTTATTCGTTTTGTAATGATCTTTATTTATAAAAGACAACGGTTAATCTGTTATAATATATTCTTGCCTAAATCCTAAATAAAAATATACAAATCACTATCAATTGTGAGCTTCAAGTAAATAGCGTAGCGCCGTGAAAATAATAATGCAAATAACGAATGATTTACTTTTTAATGCTTCAAAAACCAGGCACGTTTCTTTTCTACTATTCGATGCATTCTTTAGACTGAATATAGCTGTTTTTTACACTTACTATTACTTAGTGTATGCATGCGCCACGTTTTTAATACTGAGTATTGAAAAGACCAGATAAAATAATAGTGTGAATGAGAATCAGAACATTAAAAAGTTTGAAGATTAAGTTGCCAATCCAAATAGCGTAGTAGATTTGGACATAATGAAAAGAAATGAAAGGGACGAGAAAAATATGTGTATAATACATATAAGTGGTATCACCTAATATATAATAAATTAAAGAGTTTTATCAAATAAAATCTGCGAAATGTTGAAAAAGTAGGAAATGAAGACAAAAAAAGAGAGATATTCAACATTTTTCATCAGAAGATTGGTATTACCTACGGTAGAGACATGCAAATGGAGAAGCAAGTTTAACTATCATCAGTATCTCTTGAATGCGATAAAGGTTTTATTTATATTACAAATCTGTAAAAGTTAGCGTTGTGTGAAAAGTTAAGGAGAGAACCTTTAATTAAAATGCCAATCTACACTTTTGATAAATATCAGCCGAATGAAGACCCCACAATTGCTAATCGATATAAAAATGTTAACCAAATTACTAATTTAAATAAAAAAAAAGAATACCATCTAGTCAATCATAAACTCAATTTTGAACATAATTAATTCTTGGATTCAAGTTAACAATATTAAACCATTTCAAGCAGGATATAGCATTGCTCTGCTTTTGACAATACTTAATCTAAATAATAAATAAAAATTTAACACGCAAGGAAAGCGGTAAAACATGGGTATGGCTTTGTGTACCTTAGTGCTGCTTCAACACTCTGGTCAATGGAAGGTTTATCAGAATGCTTTAGCTTTAACGTAGCAGTGAGACAGATGTCCCTGTTGAGTACAGTACTATGGCGCATTATGTGTTGACAAATATAATGCTATGATTATGTCTCGTGTTATACGCGGATAACTTGGTTCTGCTGACAATTAGTCTGTACGTGTTTCAACAGATGATTGATAAGATTCTGTAAGATATCGAATCTAAGAATCAATCTTAATATTTAAAAAATTCCAAAATGAGATAGTGAATAGATACAAATATTTGGGCATGATTGAGTTAAAGAAACGGCAGGTATGGGTAAACTGGCTAATCACACGGTTTGCAGTCGTGAAATCTGTTTTGATTTTGGGACCAGTGTGCGATCTTTTTGAGCCCGATGAGATAGAAACAAAATTACTGCAGAAAATGGTTTCTGTTTCGGGATTGTAGACAAAGTATTGTCCTATTTTTATAGAGACGGCTTTGATAGAGCGAACATATTCACAATAATGTTCACAATTAAACTGCATTAAATATATTAGGCTATTCTCATGATACCTGTAATTAGAATTGGGCAAAATTTGAGGTTAGGTGTTACTGGGAATGAAGAGAAAGTTAACCTTGTATGGCAGGAAGAGTTCGATTGTTTTGGGCATTATAAAGCTGGGAAAGCGAAAATAAAGCCTAAATTATTTGATAGAATGGGAAAACGTTTGAGACATTCCTTAACTATTTAAATGGATATGTAGAGTTTTATATTATTATTGAATGATTATATATTAGCTCAATGTGTAACGTGTCCAGTCTTCAACGCGGTGAACGAGAAATAAATGTGTAAATACAAAAATTAAACGATTCACTTTTACAGTCGTGCGCGCCACAATGTCGAGGAAGGGCGTATTTCGATGACCCATACCTACTTACTCTACTACATACCTACGCAATGATTTCTTTTATTAAATGATCACATATTAATGCAACTCCTTAACGCACGTCACCTTTCGAAGAACATGTGTTGAACAGTTTACTTTCCATATAACGTGTAAATATAGCATTGCTTTCATTTCTGATCCATTCAACCAACGTCATTTATTCCGAGGAATTTCGCTTAACCCTTAGTTACTTAACGGGTTTGGAACGAGAGAGGCACTGTTTGGAATGAACGTACTTGCTCAAAGATGTCGAGATATATCTGTAGACATATACTGTTGTTTTATTGACTTCCAAGAGGCATTTGATCGTGTTAAGTTCTCTGTATTGACCGAAGCTCTCTCATCAATCGCCGGCCAAGCCAGACATTGGCTTGGCCGGCAGAGATATTCGAATAATTTCAATTTTATATTGGAATCAAACATCAGTTTTAGTAGATTGTGTGGAATCACAGGCTCTCAATATTAAAAGAGGAGTACGGCAAGGATGCCTCTTGTCACTCCTGCTGTTCAACGTTTACTCCAAAAGAATTTTCAGAAAAGCACTTTATGAAAAACGAGAAGAATTATTTGTGAATGGTGAAGTCATCAATAATTTGCGATATGCGGACGATACAGTACTCCTAGCTTCTAGTCAAGAAGATCTCCAAACACTACTTGATAGTGTCGTTGAGAGTTGTAGGGAGGCAGGTCTGGATCTGAACATACGGAAAACCAAAATACTCGTAATAAGTAAACAACAGCATATAAAACCGCCTACTTATGTAAATAATACCAAACTTGAGCAATTTGTTGAGCCCCAAATATAGGTTGCTACAATATATCATGCAAGGAAAAATAGCAGGCAAATGCAATCCAGGACGAAGAAAAACCTCATGGTTGAAGAAGTTGCGAGATTGCTATGGTGATGATACAAGCATGCTATTTAGGGTTGCAGTGAATAAAATTAAGATAGCTATGATAGTAAAGCACATGGTACACGAAGAAGAAGTTATTTACTTAATAAATATTTAAAAAGCATAATCACGCCACTTTTTACCTCTTCGGGTACATTAGGCACACTTCAAATGCGCGAGATTGGATCTGTGTTTGTGGCGTTTATAGTATACAATTTATTCGCACCTAAAAATACCTAGTTTCCGTAAAAATGGTGTCCTCGGATCACATTCGATCAAGTAAGTTTGAGAGCCGGGCCTTACGGGCTCTATAGTAAACGATTCAGTCATGAACGATTCATCACGATAAAGCAGAATCTGTTGTAGAATTTTCTTGTCCGTTTATTGACTTCTGTCACAAACATGACGTCATCGGCATTTTTCAAAATATTTAACTCAATGTGTTCCCAGATTTTTGTGGGATTCTATCGAACCGTTTCAAAATGTCGACTCTTGAATTAAAAAAAAATATCTTAAAACTCCTTGCGGAGGACTCTTTTTAATTTCTTTCAAATAATGTATGACATGCCATATATTATCATTTTAGGAAAAAGCTTCGATGACATCATATGTTTAACAGATTTCAAAAGAAGTCTATCGGTATGTCGGAAACTACAAAAAAAATTGACCTGCTTGAGTATTTCCCTTTCATATAATGAATGTTTTGTAAAAACATTCATTTATTCCATATTGCTATACGGAGTGGGAACAGAGACTCTCGGAATCACAAGTATGAGACATGTAGAAGCTTTTTGAGATGTGGATTTTTCGAAGGATGCTGAAGATCTCTTGGACAAAGCACGTGACCAACAACGAGGTGCTGAGAGGAATGGGGACCGAGAGAGAACTCCTAAATATTGTAAGAACCATAAAAACGAGTTATCTAGTACATATTTACAGATGAGAAAAATACAACTTCCTACGACTGATAATGGAAGGGAAACTGGAAGGAAGAAAAGGTCCAGGAAGAAGAAAATGCTCCTGGCTGATAAATGTAAGGACAGGCATGGACGAACATTCAATACTAAGAACAGCTCAAGATAGAGAGTAATTTGCAGTAGTTATAGCCAACCTTCAGTAATGGAGAGGGTACCTTAAGAAGAGAGTATTTTCCATAAAAGCTGAAGAGTACCACATTATTAGGGGTAGTACATGCTTTTTTTACTCAGTCGACATTTTGGTATTGAGTGAGGTAATAAGGCTTTCTAATAGGTATTACTTGCCATACGGTTTCAAATAAGTTTACAAAATAGTGCACGTCCGTCATTTTTGATGATTGTGTCACTAAGATACCATAAAAACAATGTAGAGAGATACTTTCCTTCAGTTATCCAGACATTTATAAATTTATATTTTGTGAACCATTTCCTAAGAGGAAACCGAAACGTCAAAATAGGTATTTTCAATTAAAATTTGTGGTAATTCTTAAAAGGTAGATAAAAATGCAACAAGATAGTTTCAAAACCATATTAGTTTTTATGGTTAAAAAAGTAGTTGAGGGTAGAAAGCTAAATTTAATTGCGCACTAAATAGAAGGGAGTGTATATACTTTTCTGTCCTATTGTGCATTTGGTGTCATGTCCTGCACTTTATTGTTGTATTATTTGGTGCCCTATCCAATTAGTAGATGTTGGCGACAATTCTGGCAGAGTGCATGGGCATCGAGGTTTGTCCAATCCCTTATGTTTTTAAGCCATGACTATTTCTTTCTTCCGATGTCTCGTTTTCCTTCTATCTTCTAATTTCGAAATATATAACCCAGATAAGTAGTTTTTCTTCATTTTATTATTGGCACCAATTATTTTCCTTAGTCATTGTTTTTATATCTAATCCAACACTGTATCATATGCCTTTATATAAAATGGTATCAGGCGTGTTAAAAACGCACCTAATAGATTACAAATTTGCGTCCAGGTGTGAAAGATGATTTAAAGCATTATAAGCACCTGCGAGAAACCTTTTTTCTTATAACTACGAATAAATATCCTACGAGTTTGTATTTGTGATCAAGTGGTCATTCGTCTCTCTAAACGACCAAAATTTTATGACTTTTTACCGAGTGCTACTGAGAAGTTTTATTGCATTTCATAAAAGCCAATTTCCAGGATATATTACACAGCTAAGCGGACAAAACACTAATGCGTGCACAACTATATAAAAATGTGAAAACAGAAAAATAAGGAGTGACATATTGTACAAAGGACACAAGAAAGACTTCGAACAATATCTGCGACATATCAGCCTAAATACTGCATAAACGTCGTAATTAGAATAGTAATTATTACTTAATCCCCTTGAAACATGAAATGGACAAGGACAAATATTTTACGCTAATAAAGGGTAAGACAAAAAAGAAAAATATTTGTAAATAAAAGTTTCGCCAATATTTATTTTGAAATATGTAAAATTTTACTTTTTACAATGCTTAAAAGAGCTTGTTACTATTCTCTGTATGTAACAAAAAGAATATAACTTTAAATACATAACTTTTATAGTTTAAAATAATATAAAAATGGATAATCAAAAAAGATAACTTGATGGTACTCCTTCAACCAAATTTTTAATCACTACTCCAAAGTTATATTCTACAAAGAAAATTAATAAAAAGAATCTATCGTGTGTGTATATATAAAAAAATCTCACTATATGAATCAGCATAATTAATATTATAACATAGACATATAGAAATAAATATATGTTAAGACTATACTAAAAAATCTTACAGTTCTTTCTAAATCACTGGATTTTCGTAAGACTATTAAGCAACAAATATATTACAGGCTTTCTTTATAATTTTTAACTTTCACCCAAATATAAAACCAGCATCGTGTAATACCTACAATGAGTACCAAAAACAAGTACACAAAGTAACCTGCCATTAGGGCCGATAATTTTTTGTGATGTATTAACATGATCTATCAATGAGATTCTTAAATGCCGCCATTTTGAAAAAACAATAGTAAAATATACAAAATTTCTTAATGCTATATCAATTAGTTATAAACTAATGATATACCTAGTAAATGTTTATTCCCTAAAGTCGATGTTCCTACAATAGCCGGGGCGTCTGGTCCCAGTAATTGTGTCGCCTAAGGTCATATACATTTATTAAAAGCAACACAAAACTTTGTATTGAAAAAATCGAGACACGCAAACTACAGAAAATATGACAAATGTCTAAACCAGATGGCTGAAAACTACAAAACATAAATGTATAGTCTAGTCCCTGGTTCTTTATATATGTATGATTTATATTTTACATCAAACAAAGACAGCAATATAATTGAAGGATGGTGAATCATTCACATACCGTCCACTTCGAGTTTAGAAAATGTGACATAGTATTTTTTTCGTGTTACTTAAATTTTAGTTACCCATTTCCTGGGTGAGTATGTGAGGCTATGAGTTCAATAACGGACCAACACAGAAAAATTAAAAATTTTGCAACTCTATATTTGATAGGATCTTAGATAAGCAAAGTGGTCCATGCGCGGTTAGTCCACTGTGCTGCTGATAATTAGATGTTTTTCTATCATTCTTAATTGATATTTTTGGATCTTTTTGTTAACTGTTATTGGGACTTTTAATTACTGTGAAATATATTTATTCTGTTCTATCCCCTATCCTATTTTATTTTCCGAAAAAACGTTCAACAAGGAATACAATTTACACTTACATCCACCAATTGCTGACTCTTGTAAGAAGTGTAATTTATTTGAAGTCAAAATAAAGGCAGCCAATAGTGAATCAAGTAAATAACACGAAACTTAAAAAGAACTTCGCCAAAAGAAAGCAAAGAGTGCTAGAGATTCTTTAAAAAGGGACACCGAACTGACAAAAAAAAAGAGAAACGCGTCCGTCATTTGTTTCGATTTGATGAAGACCACTTTACCTACACATGTGCTTACCGCAGGGATTTGTTACTACAAGCGACAATTATGGACCTACTGCTTCAATATTCATGAAATGGTAACTAACAATTCATTTATGTTTGTTTGGGATGAAACTGTCGCCTCTAGGGGTCCTCAAAAGGTAGGATCCTGCATTTTATTTTACATAAAAATTTCGTAAAATCGAAAGAAATTTTTATGTATTCTGACCAATGTGACGGTCAGAATCGTACTATTAAAATGTCATTATTATGCAATTATATAACTACATCTTCAGATTTTACCCCCTCTGTGTCTCAGTGGTAATAGCGCCTGCCTTTAAATCTAAAGGTCGTGAGTTCGAATCCCACCTGGGTGGAAATTTTCGTTTATTAAAAAAAAAATTAATAAATGAAAATAATTTCTATCCTTGTGTGATCGGTACACACTGGAGGGACCGCAGACGTTCGGATACAATTAGCGTCTCTTAGCAAAGACAATGACGTCGACTTTGCTAAGTATCAAGACAATTACTCTACACACACAAACACACACTACATTAATAAACTTATCTTGATTGAGACTGGCTGAATGACAATTGTCCAAGCCAAAACACACAAAAAAAAATCTCCAGATTTTACCGTAGAAGAAATAGACCACAAGTTTCTGGTAAGTGGTCATTCTTACTTGCCATCTGTCCAAAATTTTGGTATAATAGAAAAAGAAAAGAAATTCCATCCACTTGTATTTATACCCCAAGATTGGCATACAGTGATAAAGCACGTTTATAGAAAGAAAAATTCGTTCATAGTAAGAAGCATGGACAAATCAAATTTTTTGAGTAGGTAATACCACCAACAGAAAAGTTTCCGAAACAAAAATCAAGGTAAAGTGGCTTAAAATTCAATGGTTAAGGTTTAGGAAATATTTTCCTAATACTCTTCAATATAAGTATCCAAACGATGAAGATGTTTATTTTGAAAACGTGGAGCTTAATAAAAGAAAATCTATTTCCAAGAATCCAATAGAATTGCCACTTTTGTATCCAAATGGTAATACCATTAATAAAGCTAAACAAATAATTTCTTCGGTTAATGGAATTGATACCCCCTATACACCATAAATTTTATAAAACCCTGAGATCTTAAGCTCAAGCAGCCGGAGGTGAAGTAATTGGCCCATTTGACGAAAAAGAACATTGGATATTCTAACTTCTAATGATTCTATACACATTCTGTGGCAATAAAGTCTTTGATGCAATATCGAGTGTGTTATTTTGTGGGATAACCCATTCACTAACTGAAAATATTCTAAATGTAAAGTGGATCACCCCACATTAAAAAATCGAATATAGGTGTTTATCCAAAATTGTTGATCAAGTTGATCAAATAAGTAATATCTAACATACTCCCATTCATTCAAACCAAAAAATATTATCAAACAAGGTTATAGTTGATCTCCTAATTTTCACTTTTTGTTCAAACTTATGTTCTAACACTTATTAATATTGGGGTTAGTCCGTTATTGCACTTATAGTCTCATATATTTATAAGCTAATACCGACAAGTATATGGTCTAGCCTATAAAATGAAATTCGATTCTAACTATAAACTGTCCAATGGAATGTTATATCCAACGGTATATTTCTAAGGATTGTTGAAAATAGGATTATTGTAAATCCTTTAAATTCCCAAACATGACAACTTGTGCTAAATTTGCTCTTGAATGTTTGAACTGGCGGGAAAATATGTGGGACTAGAAACGCTTTTCTACTTGTTTGTCAATGTACTTACCTTTCAATAAACCTTTATTTAAGGGAGTAATTACTGTGCTGTGCGGACATTTGGGTAAAACAGGAAATACTCATGTCATAAGTATATTTGTGAAGTAAACATTAACCAATGTTGAGTGAATTTAATTGAACGAACCAGTATTGCTGCGTTAAAGATCAAATTGTTCCAAAAATCTTGGAGAGTATGCACCCAAGAAATATTTTTTTGGATTGTAAATGATTTTATTTAAAGTTGGAAAAATTGAAAATGTTAGATGTAATATGGTTATTATTGAAAAGTTTTATACCTAGCAGCTATTTTTAATAATCATACCTACAATATTCCAAAAACAATTTTATCAGAACATATTTATACCAGGATCTAAAAATAACTTTAATATTTATTCAATTAATGTCAACATTAATTAATTAATATTTATGTCAATACCAGTTCTTTATTTGACCATTTTTATCACTTCAATTCTTGTTTTTTATAATCTTATTTGGTCCATGGCTGTTTAATCATAAATCTTATGGTAATCGAAGCTCTGAAGAAGATTTGAAATAAATCGGAATGTCCAATGACAATTACTCTATTCACATCTTGCATTTGCATTGCAAATAAAAAATAAAATTGTGCTTCTTGGATAATTGAGTTGCCTGTTTGATGTGAAGTCGACTAGAGCATTTATACTATTAATGTAAGTTATTAGTAAGCCATCAAAAGATGTGTTTGTCTTAATGACTGTACAATCCATAAAGTGTACTATTAGTATGACACAAAATACATTATCAGTTTATCATTTTCGAATATATGAACATTGCTAATTAATATACATCAGGGTAAAAAAAGTAAAGTTCGTGTAACCTTCTGGATAAGGTCTAATGTTAGGGTTTTCAGGTCGTACAAGCGCCCCTAATATGGTGGCAGCTCAGTTAAATTAGAAATTGAAAATTTTGTCGGGGCCGGGATTCGAACCTAGGCACTACAGCTTGTTAAGCCAGTAACATAACCTCTGGGCTACGGCTGCCATTCGGATTTAAATATACAAAGGTAATTATAAAACGCCTTATGTTTTTTGGGTAAATTATTTAATTGTAACATTGTCCCCAAAAAAACACTATTTAAGTATTTAACAAAACACAATTTTCTATACTTTACATCTTTCTGTTAAATTTTATGGTGTTTTATTTTAAATGTATACGTCTTTTTCTAGTGAAAAAAGATTGGCATGAAAAATGTTATCGACCTCTTTTTAATGAACTTAAAAGAAGTCGAGTAGTTTAAAAGTAAAGCACGTAAATATAATTTAACAACGGCAATAATATTTTTTTCTTGTTAACACATAATACATAATTTTACTAATTATATTATAGTGCCGTGTTTTTGGTACTCATTAATTTTCATTATTTTAATTTTTTATATTAACTTACGTTCTACAATCATCAGCAAGTGAATATATCCTAAAAGTGTTTGGCAAAGGGTCCATAAACTCAAAATTCGAGTTTGGGTAATTAACGCAAAATGTCCAAACATATATTTTATCAGGTAAATCAAATATGTATGATGCGCAGAAGTAAGTACTACGTACAACGAAAACAAAATTCTAAAAACAGGTAAACGTACAAACAAAAGTCATTATCATGGTAGGAAATACAAATTTCGATATTGTCTCTCATTACATAACATTAAATAAAACAAATTCGATTAAAAAACTAAAGCATCGAGCAACTTCTGTTGTACATAATTGGTATATTATTTAATTAATAAAGTTTAGAACGTTTTTGGACATACAGTCCATCTTGAGTGAATTTTGAAGAACTTGCGCTACTAACCGCAAAACCAAACAGTAGTTGGGTTTAAATTGTAGATACCATACTTAAAATTATTAAATTAAACAGCATGATGTCTATGAAAATGGATATAACTATCCGGGAATAATATGTCCCTACTACAAAATAAACTTTCACATCCACACGGGTATCCGAGTTTGCCAACTTAATTTATTTGCATGTTT